ATTTGAACTTCGCCATTACCCTGTATAAACTCTGTCCGCAGACAAGACGCGCGGATATCGCGAATCGTAAACGAACGACTTTAACAATACACACACGCAACTATTTATAATGTTGTTAAAATTATGCGTTCTAAATATACCGCGATGATTGCTGCGTCGCCTCTCGCGAGTCAGCCCGAAATCGCGTCTCGGTTTTTAAGTCTTCAATGCTAACCAAATTGAGACGATGAAAATTCTACTCGAACCCATCAAACGCGCGAAACAATAATACGAAACAACACAAAGGTGGTCGAGTATGTTATCCACCCACCTGGTACTTATAACTTCGCCTTGCACGTACCAAATTAGGCTGTGCGCGTGATCGGGAATATTAAACCGACCGAGTAGTGTTGTGGTCTCTAGAAATGTTGCACGCGCCCGAGCTGAAACGTAGTCAAAGGAGCAACATATCAATAAATAAGTCGACCAATCCCGTCCTGACGAGGGAACGCAGCTTCGTGAAACCAAACAAAGATGCGATGAAACGACGTAGCCACACGATGGCGACCATCAAAGCGGGTAAGCCGACGATGGAGATTTACCGACCACCGAACGTACGCACCGATCTGCCAAACGTTCCTGGAAAGCTCAACGTGCACGCAAAAGAGTTCACGATGAACGAAATCAATCCCTCAAAGTCGAGCGGTAACGTAAACGCAGCCGTGATGGGTTTCCAACCTGTACCGTTGCAACATTCTAAATCGAGCGGAAACATCTTACGACATCCCGGATTTGTACCACTTTTGGCTCACGGTATGCCGATTCCGTTGTTACACTCTGCGTCGGCCGCTCACATTGTGAGCGCGATGTCCTCCTCTAACTTTCAGTATCCCGCCGAATTACTCCCTCATTCCGTGTTCACGGGCGCCAATCAGCAACCGATTTACCGCCAAAGCAACTGGATTTACGGCAATTCGCAGCCTCACCAGATTGCACAGCATGGTCCGCAGTCGCTGAAGAGGTCGAAAAGCGTCGGAGCGGCGGCCGGCGACGCACAAACTCTGGCCAACAAACTGAAAGATTTGGTCAGCACCGAGGAAATCGACTTCAGCGTGTTTTCCGAGCCGCAGCGTGCAGACGTCAAGCAGGCCGTGACGGATGCGAACAAACTGTCGTCGAGGATGCTGATGGATGTAGTGAAAATTGTTATGGAGAAAGTGGTCGAGGGCATCAAGTACAGCGAGTCGATTTCGAAACTATGCATAGCGATAATTAAGGAAGAGAAGAATCAGACGTTTCTCGAATCATTGTTAAACACTTGCCAACAGTGGTACCAGGAACGTGATAAAATTCTGAGAGGAATCAAGGCGGGCGACGGCACGCGGTTTACCGCGTTTATGTGGTTTCTGACAGAACTCTATGGTCAATTGAAGCGGCAACAGATCAAAGACAGCACGGAATCGCTTCAGCCGGAACTAGTGTTGCTCTCGGTTTTGGCAAAGTGTTGTCGGGCTTGCGTTGCTCAACCGATTAGGTGCGCTACCGAGACCGAGTGTTTGTTTTTCGTTCTGACGTCGATAGGACGCGACATGGAAGTCGAGATACCGCAGATGATGGAAGAGTTGCTGACGGGCGTGCGGGATGGGTTTTTGTCAGGCAATTGTTCGTCGAGCGTGAGGCGAACTTTGCTACAGCTTATAGAATTGCATGCGTCAAACTGGCAGTTACCCGGGTCTTCAGTCTTGTATTATTATCCTAGGATAAAGTAGTCAGAGATGAACTAGGTTCTTATTGTAAGTTTAATATTATCATTTTGGATAAGGATAGTTTTTTCCATTAAGTTAAATTTTCCCATTCGATTGCTAATAACAATTGGGAATAATTATTCTGTTTCCGAGCCTTTGATTTTGGAATCATTTTTGTACCTACCTTTCGAATGAGAGCAAAACATGTTTTTTATTTAAGTGCCTGCATATTTAGCGGGTTGATCGCCCAAATGTCTTATAACCAGTAGTATTACAGATCACGTTTTGTAGAACAAACTTTTTAACGCAGAAAATAAAACGCAGAAAATAAAATTAAATTTTTGCTCATTTTATTATAGGTCGAATAAATAATGTACTTTATTCAAGGTTTCTGTATATTTTTATGTGATTTTGTGCATCAGTTGGAAATAAATTCTTAATTTTTAACAAACACTTGTTGCTATCTTTCCATAATTTGCATTTATTTTTGTCTGTATTTAGATTGACATTTAATTTTGGCACACCCAATATAAGTCGTATAAGTAATTTTTTAAGGTCCCTCTTGACAACATTAAAAAAATTAAGTTAAACTAAATTAATAACTGCTATGTGTATTTTACATATTTTTTGAGATATGTATAAACAAAGTTAGTCGTGGGATAATTTAATGCCGATTACTCATCGAAAGTTAAGAAGATCCACATATGTTAATATTTATAGTAATCACTGAACCAAAACAGCTGATAAAACTATAATTTTCGGATTATTTATTATAGATATGCGCAATAATTGTAGTGTCATGAAATAATATTTTATAGGAAAGTAGTAGGGAGCTATGAATTAATTTAACAATAATCACAAGTAGTGAGGTCATACGCGGATAATACATGTGAACCCCAAACCTAGCTAATATCAATAAATTGTTATAAAAAATTGTTATTTTGAATATAAAAACAGAAATTAAGTTAAATTACATTAAAATAATAATAAATTTATAATTTTTTAAACTCTCAGTGCTGAGCTGGTCCCGATCCCAGCATCTCAGTTCTAGTTTTTCACTTAGCTATAGTATAAACTATCTTCAAAAGGCGTTTACAACTCCAATGCAATTCGTTCGGATTGTCGGATATGTGAAAATCTTTTTTGTATAAGTGTGTACTCTAAAATACCATGTTATTCACCGATCAAACGTTCGCAGAGTGTAAGTTTAAGACGTCACAGCTTAGTTAAACCCTGTTGTTGAGTCTCTTTAAGCGTTTCCGGTACTTTATTCGCGAGTTTGTGTGTGATGTGTACAATATTGTTAAAGTATAATATTAGAGTTATATATAATTCATTATCAATACATTTTCCGTCTTCAGTTGTATACAATGTGTGTATCGCACTTGAATGCCAGAAAACGCTCGTTGAATGTTTGAATCCATTGATTGAGAGAGTAATTGTTTCGATTTTGATTTTTGTGTAACCCACAAAAAATACAGTGTTAAATCGGGATTTCGCGACAGCCATAATATTTTTTAAAAAAAACTTAAATTTAAGTATGGATTTAAAAATGCTCTTATTTCTTCAATACAGTGATACTAAACATTATATTATTACTATGGAAAACTGAAAACTGACGAAAGTTTTCTGGCAGTGGGTTACCTAGGGTCATTCTGTGATTTTCGGTCCATAACATTTTCTTACAAGGTTTTTTTTCTCAATGTTTAATCCAACATTTTCATACAAAAAAATGAAACAATTACTGTTTACTATTTAAATCTCTGTCTGCATCCCTTAAAGTTCTATATGTTTAGTCGCAATTGATTTATTTTTATAAATAATAAAATAAATATTTTGGATTATCTGAAGGTTCAAATATTACAATATTAATACGAAAAAATGCAAAGACTCAAAAATCATTACAAATTTCATTAATTTGGCATTTCGTACTATATGCTTTTATGAGAGCACTACAATAATATGTTTCCCTACGTCATTGTGATATCTAAAATTACGATTTTCTCTGAAACTATTGATTTTAGGTATAGAACACATACTCAAAAAATGTTTTTTTAATTTTTAAAAAATCGAGTTTTTCCGTATAAAATGTTACCAGATTAATTTCGTAATATGGGCACCCTGTACAGATATATTCTGTACTTGCATTGATGATGTGTGTGGAAATTAGCTCCCAAACGCCTAATTCAAGTTTTGGGTCAAACGATCACATAAGGTCGAACATCTTAATTACGCAAAATTCGATAAGTTAGGTTAATTTTTCATATAAAATTGAAATTCGGACTCGTCGTTTTTGGAAGGTTGTGGTGAAGTGTATTTTGTCATGGAACGCGTAATATCTCTAATGTGAAAATGATTGGAGAGAAGAGCAGATGAAGATGTTCTAATTTTAGTAGCGTTTCCATAATCTTGGTTTTAGATGGAAGGTCTCGAGGGCTTTCTTCTCAAAAACTTAATATAAATATATTTGCGATGACTCGTGATAATGGAGAACCAATTGCTGTTCCCGAAGTTTGTTCAAAAATTTAGTCGTCATAAGGAAAATTTTTCAATTAAGATGAGTTGGTTTGGTTCCAGATTCTCAGAAATATTGTAGTGAGTCAGGAATAGGTACTAGAGATTCTATTTCGAAACTAACCAGAATATCATGTGGATGTAATGTAATGGTTTTTAATTGTTCAATGAAATAAAAGAAACTAGGTAAGAAACCCTTTCCCTCCCCCAGTTTTCCCTCTAAAGGGTTTTAATATGGAAGCTATATATTTTGTTAGAGAATATGTTGGTGAATCAATGGAGCTGGCAATAGCTCGAAGGGTAATCCTGGTTTGTGAATCTTAGGGAGTCCGTAGAGACGAGGAATTTTGGAGTCATGACGGCTAACAGACTTTTTAAGGGATTCTGATAGATTTAACCCTTTATAAGACAGCCTGAATAACATGTAAAGTTGGATCCTATGGACGACGTAGGATCATTTTTAAGATGACCGGATCCGCCTGTAAACATATTTTGAAGTTTTTCAAATTACTTTAATCTTGTCCCTATCTGAGTTTGATACTCTTTCAAGCATAATTCATGACAAAGCAGAAAATCTTCATTTATTATCTATCCAGAATCATATTTAAAAATTTAAAAAACTAACGTCAACACCAGTGAAATCATCAAACTCTTCTCAACTATCAAACAGTGTGGTAAATGTATCATCCCACTAACTTTCTGAGACGGAAAAATCAGTTCGCATCTCATCTCATCAACGACCGACGCAGGAAGAACCCAAACGAAAAAATTAACATGTCCGTCACTTGTGTTTACGCCGATCCCTCAACCCCATCATGTCAGTTTGTTTTTGAGATATTTTGCGAAATTAAAATGTCGAAAAAAGCTTAAGGAAACATCAGGGACGCAGGGTGAGAGATCCAGAGAAGATTAAGACAATTACAAAATTATAATTGTGATTTACGTGCCTTTTGTAGTTGGCAGCTCTTTGCAGAGTCAACAGAAACCCATAAACCGTTTTATCTCCATTTTTCAATCTATTTTACACTTATGTTATAAAAAACAATAACAAAGTAAAAGTTTTTGATCTTAACCTTTAATATCATCATGTGTATACAGACTATCTGCGAAAACAATATCCCGTTTAATACAAGTAGAAGCCTCCTCCATTTTACTTTGTAATTCGGGATCACCAATGATTCTTGCAGCATCACGTACATCCATAATGGTTTCATTAAGCTGCTGTATACATCTTACTATTATACCTTCCTGAATTTCTGTAAGCTTCATAATATCCACAAATGGCTGAAAGTGAGTAATAATAATTCCATAAAAAAGATAGAACATTTATTTTCTTCAAAGCAAAATTATTTCATTTAACCATTGATGAGGGATTGAGTCCCATTGAATGGCTATTTGTTGTTTGTTTCGAGAAACGTTTAGAGTATAAGCACCAATAAATAACCACTTGCTAAAAATGGGATAGTCAGGGTTTAAATTTCGAGCTATAATAACAATCACCATTTTTATAAACGTTTTTATCAGGATTAGGATAATTATTTTAAACATACCTCAGCATTCGCCCATCTATGGACAATGTGAACCAATCCAAAATTCAGATCACCTTGAAATTCTTCGGTGTGTATATCTAACTGCAATTCCTCCTGTGCAATTCTAAGATGAATTGCCTTAATTTTTTCGATTCCCTATAAATTAATTTATATATATATATATATATATATATATATATATATATATATATATATATATATATATATATATATATATATATATATATATATATATATATATATATATAAATAATCTTCTCTACCTACATATCCAATACACCCTCACCTTTTTTAAAGCCGGCGTCAAATCGTCTTCAAATTCACTTCCATCAAATCTGAGCTTCACTTTAAATACCAGTGAAGAAAGCAGCGCGGCTACTTCTGACGCAGTTAAGTGCTCAAAAATATTATCCACAACCATTTCAGTGATAAACAGCTCATTCATACCCATTTCACAAGCAACTCTGCCTTTAAGCTGCACTGCGGAGTGGAAAATTAAATAATCGAGAATTCACAAATATGAGGTAACATTAAAATAATAATAATTTCATCCTGATTGAGATTTTTTTAGTATTGTTCTTTGATTGTTCTCATGGTAAAATAGCCAATAAGTTTTACTGTATAACACTGAAAAGCCCGTGGGCATTACAGTTATTTACATTTAATTAAAGCTATGTCTCTAAAACAGCCGCGTGTACATTGTACAAAAATTTAATTTATCACGAATCATCCCTTATACATGGTTCGGGAACATACTAATCATCGCTTCTATGCCGTAAAGATCATGTTAAAAAAAAAGTTTATACAAACCTCTATTATTTGCATCAACATAATTTAATCTTCTCAAAAGTTCGATTCTGTTCTGATAATCGGGATACAGAATTAAACTTGCATTTGATAACTTAAACTCCAGATTCTTCTTTTTTTCTTCTATGAACTTCTTATTAAAGACCGCTAAGAATTGTTGCTCAAAATTGGGAATTTGTGTACTTGGTATGTAATCCAGAAGCTTGTCTTTCTGTTCATACATCTCCTTTAAATGGTGAAACAAATGTTGATCATTTATCTTAAGATCCACTATAAAATGTAAAAAGGATAAAACATTTGATCTTCTATTTTCGTTGTACAGCATGGTAAGTTTTTCCAATTCTTGAACTGCTTGCGCACAAGTTTGACCTTAAAACATAATAATTTAAATAAGAATGTTTAATTACTTGCTGCTGCTGAGCGAGAACCAAGCAAATTTACAAACTTTATTTCATTTAAAAATATCTGAATGTCTACCTCGTGTCAAGAACAAGTGTTCACGCAGTCACACAATGAAAAGGTTCCTGACAAAAGAAGATTTCTTTAAAGTAACTTTTGGGTGTCGTATCACTATTAATTAAATTCGAGTTAATTTAAAATTATGCTAGGCCAGCTTAAAATATTCTGATAATATACGTACAGGCTACTAGGAACATAGGACATATCGCACCCTCGACGTTATTTGAATTCAGTTATGCAGTACGTTTGACGTGTGAGAAAAATCGTACCGAATGAAATAAAAATTCCGTCAATAAATAAGTGCCTTGCGGATGAGGTGAATTTTTCTATAAATTTTTTCGTTTTTAGAACGCAGTGCATATCCAAATTCAAGAGCGGTGCGGCCACACGAAAAATAGTAAATCTGACTTATTCTGGTCTAGAGCACACAGTATACATAAAACTAACCTGGTGGGTCATCTTTGAATCTTTCCATTTGTCGCTTTTGCCAGTCTTTTAATACTAAATCAGTATTCAGTTTCAAAGTTTTTGAAGATATTTCAAATATATCCAGAGCACTTACAGTCAACACCGTGTGATTAATTTTATGTGGCAAATAAAGCTTGCTTCGGGCTAGAGCAATCATTTGATACCATAAATCATCTCTACTCTCTTCCTGGTTTTCCACCAAATGATCAAGAACTAGAACTTTATAAGAACAGTTTTTTTTCACTTGGTCAACTGACAATATAAGTCCTAGATGATTTACGTAATTTCTCTTAGTTAATACTACTACTGTTCCTGGTTGCATTGCCTTATGTAGTTTATGTGTATTCAAAATACCTGGCTAGAACACAACACAAATCTCATATATTGAGTATATCAAATAGCGTTTTTAGATGGAAAATACAATTTTATAATTAGATCTTGTATCTAGATAATGATAAATAGATATCTATCGAACATCACTGCAGCAATATTGAAAGTGTTATTAAACTATAAATATATTAAAATATAAAAACCCGGCTTACTGCCATTGTTAATATTGTTTGCTTCTGGGTCAAATTATATATACCTCGGTGGACTAACTGACGCGGGAGGAATCCAGAAGTTTTATAAAAAGTGTAGAATGTTATTTGTTCACTGATTATGTTTGTTGTTTGTTGTACGGCCTTTAAAGTATTTTATATTTTGGAATAGCCCTTGGGCAAAACTTAAGGAATTGTGGTACAATCATAAATTTCAGACTAACCGCATTACAAGTTACTAGCTACCACTAGTTTTAATATTTATTAATTATTAGAAAATATTTTGCATAATGACAATAATGGTGAAACTCATGTACATTCTAATCCTATATGTTCAAAAAATAGCTACTCCGCCTCTTAATGCACACTTACCAGTATACTACTCCTCTTGTTTAAATATGCTGCGGCCGCATCATAGTATTTCACCAATGGTTCCAAATAGCCACTGAGTTGGTGCATATTTAATTCTTCCAATTGTCGTTCAGTTTTTTCAAGCTCTTTTCGTATATCGGTCACATTTTTTTGATGATCTGCTTCGGCAAAGCTACGTGACATCATCCCCTCTACACTTAGACTTTCCACCCTCAATAAACTCAGTACCATCCCGTAGGTAAGTCTAAACTGACTTACTAACTTACTGGGCAGTCCTGTCATCATTGCTCTAAGGTCAGTGTCTAGCGGGATTTGCCATTTACACAATATAATTACTGTGCCTCTTTCGTCCTTTCCCCTTCTGCCAGCTCTACCGGCCATTTGGATATACTCTGCTGGCAAAAGATTCCTCAACTCGACTCCGTCGTGTTTTTGGATAGAATCAAAAATCACTGTTCGAGCTGGCATATTAACACCCATTGCAAATGTTTCAGTGGCGAAAAGAATCTACAATAAATATTAATAAAATATGGTGAATAAGAAGTATAACCTTTCTCAATCGCTATTTTTAAACAGCAGCGTGGATAAACAATGAGCACAATACCGTGTACAATCCAATACCAATTTTAAAGCCAACCGAACATATCTAACTGAAACAATGTCAGGGTTGCCAAATTTATTTAGAATTAATACTGTGCCTTAAAAATTCCTTTAAGCCTTAAAAATTCCTTTAATACCCTAGTTTAAATGATTGACTATGGCTGCCGGCGTTTCCATTCATTGCGTAACGTCAATACTTGTTCCCTTAAAACTACTTACCTTTATAAGACCTTTCTGAAAAAGCATCTCTACTATCTCCTTGACAATAGGCAAAACACCACTGTGATGAATTCCTATTCCTCGATTGAGAATGTCTTGCATTTTAACAATTTGCGGAATCTTTTGATCGGGTTCCTTCAAACACCTAATAATATAAAATAAATAAATAAAATAAATATATGTATAAAATTTGCAATTTTTTTTCGAATATATAACCAGAAAAATAACATTTATATACATAATCACAAACAATCACTGCTCCCCGTCAAGTTAAGTGTAGTTGCAAGTTAAAATGAAATTAAATAAATATCTCTAAAGTAAGCATTAAGATAAATATAGGAAAATAATATTTCTAATCAACTGTTAATGAATTATTTATTATTTTCGGGGGAAATGTGTTGGTTTTTGAAGAAATCATGTAATGACACCGCAGTAACCTTTTTTTTTCAAAGAAACGTCCACAGGCTACTGTATTACTTTTTACAAAACTTCTGGATTCCTCCTGCGTCGGTTTTTGTTGGGTCGAAATTGCTGACATTTCGCCAATCATCCTGTTGGCTTCTTCGGAGCTTGACTGAAACTGGCTCGTATTTTACTCTGTACCTGATTATATATTGTTTGAGGGGGCGGAGCTAAATGAGGGGCACAAACACCGTCGGATGACTGATTCCCAAATTGGTGACAGATAGAGACCTGAGTCGCGGTTAAGATTATTTGGTTATTTATAGATTTCTATAGACTCTCGGATTTTTCGTTGGTAGAAGAATTGATTACATGCAAGAATTTTAGTTTTATCGAATAAAATTTTATGTCCGGTTTCATGAGTGTGTTCGGCAACAGCTGATGAGTTTATTTGTCTTAGTCGTAAGGCTCTTTCGTGTTCTTTGAACCGAGTTGATATTTTTCGTCCAGTCTCTCCAACATATTTTTTGCCGCATATGCATGGAATTCTGTAAAGTCTCAAATGGAATTTTGTCTTGGACGGACCGAAGATGTTGAGAGATTTTTGGACAAGTGGTAAATCTGGTTTTGACGTTATACTTCTTTAGAACTTTTGATATGTGATCAGTGATGTTTTGAATGTAAGGAAGGACCACAGTGGCAAGTGTAGGATTGCTTTTGGCCTCATTGCTATTGGAGGGCTGTGGTGAAGTGTATTTTTTGATGGAACTCTTAATACCTGATTTATTAAAATCCGAGAATCTGGAACCAAACCTTCTCATCGCGAATATATTTATGGAAGCCTTTGAGAAGAATGTTCTCGACACCTTTCATCTAAAACCAAAATTATGGAAACGCTACGTCGATGATACTTTTGTTATTTGGCCTCATGATCAAGAAACCCTAGCTAGATTTTCTTAGACATTTAAACTCTATACACCCTAACATACGTTTTACCATTGAGTTGGAAACCTTCCATTCTTAGATATTCTTATCAATAGAAATTCAGACCTAACATTGGCTCATTGTGTCATGGTCACATCGCCATTCAGCTCAGAATCAGTTATCAACTCTCAGAGCCGTAAAACTATCTCAGCCCGAGTCACATATCTAAGAATGGAAGGTTATTATTAATTGCCAACTCAATGGTAAAACGTATGTTAGGAGGTATAGAGTTTAAATGTGTAAGAAAATCTACTAGGGTTTCTTGACCAAGAGGCGAAATAACAAAAGTATCATGGAAGCAGCGTTTCCATAATTTTGGTTTTCGATGGAAGGTGTCGAAAGCATTCTTCTCAAAGGCTTCCCTAAATAGATTCGCGATGGCTGGTCATAACGGAGAACCCATAGCTGTTCCCGATGTTTGTTAAAAAATTTGACTGTTATAAGAGAAATATGTTCCAGACTAGCAATGATGTTAAGAGTTTCAGGAATAGGATCTTTGGTAAAGAGGGATTCTTCGTCGAAAATAACTAGAATATCTTATGTATCTAATGTAATTAAACAAAAAATTTAAAAAACATCAAACATCGGTTATCAACTCTCTTGTTTACAGAGCCATAAAACTACCTCAAACCTCTGCTCTTCTCGCTAATAATTTCCAATTTGAAAGTATTAAGCGTTCCATCAAAAACTACACTTCACCACAACCTTTCAATAGCAATGAGGCCGAAAGCACTCCTACACTTGCCACTGTGGTCCTTCCTTACATTCATCACTGACCACATATCAAAAGTTCTAAAGAAGTATAATGTCAAAACCAGATTTACCACTTATCCAAAAATCTCTCAACATCTTCGGTCCGTCAAAGACAAAATTCCATTTGAGATGCCAGGAGTTTACAGCATTCCATGCAAATGCGGCAAAGAATATATTGGAGAGACCGGACGAAAAATATTAACTAGGCTCAAAGTACACGAAAGAGCCTTACGACTAAGACAAATAAACTCATCAGCTGTAGCCGAACACGGTCATGAAACCGGACATAAAATTTTATTCAATAAAACTAAAATTCTTGCATGTAATCAGTTCTTCTACCACCGAAAAATCCGAGAATCTAAAGAAATCTATAAACAACCTAACAATCTTAACCGCGACTCAGGTCACCAATTTGGGAATCAGTCATCCGAGACGTTGTTTATGCCCCTCATTTAGCTCCGCCCCCTCAAACAATATATAAGCAGGTACAGAGTAAAATATGAGCCAGTTTTAATCAAGCTCTGAAGAGGCCCTTAGGATGATTGGCGAAACATCAGCAATTTCGACTCGGCAAAACCCGACGCAGGAGGAATCCAGAAGTTTTGTAAAAAGTAAAAACCGTAGTAACCTATCGGTATAATAATAAAATAATGTCTTACCTTAAACATTTGTTGAAAAATATGGTAATCTGGGATTTTTCCTTTTGCGTTGTTAAATCTAAATTAGATAGAACTTCGGCATTTCTATCACATTTTTGTCTAGAGAAAATAAAAGCCACCACAGGTAACAAATCATTTTTCCTTAGGTGAGACACTAAACCAGTCCAAAGTGTTTTTTCTTGTGACAAATTCAGATTTTTAGTTTGACGCTGATTTTTGGGCTGTTCTAAAGCTTCCCGAGCTTTGGTGTAACTAAAAATTTATGAAGTATTGAAAGTACACACTCAACTCGGCCATCAACTTACCCTTCTTTGCACCAATTGTCTGCATCCAATATCAAAAATCTATTATTCCTGCTGCTGCCACCATACCCAGTATAAAGGAAATGTTGTAAGGGTACAGGTCTTTTTGAAGTTGTTACCACATAGACCTTTCTTTGGTGAGTCCTACCGAGCCAATCGGCAAATTCTATAGTATTAGGAACTGTTGCGCTAAGCAAAACCACACAAACATGTGCAGGAAGCATTATCAGCACTTGTTCCCAAACATGACCCCTCTCTCTATCATTTATGTAATGCACCTTGAACAAATGATTACATCTTTATATCTTTTATTGCATATATTGCAACTAAATAAAGCCAAATTCAAAAACAAAATGATTTTCCGAAGTCCAGTGGTGGAGATGATTTTGGAGATACAGGAGTATTAATTTGGTTAAAAAAATTATAGATAATTCCCTAAACTTACCTCATCAAAGATCACGTACTCCAAATCTCTAGTAATGTCACTGCCGCAATATAACATGGATCTCAAAATTTCTGTTGTCATGATTAGACAGGATGCCTTTTGGTTTATTTGAAAGTCGCCGGTTATCAGACCAACATCGTTAAATTCTTCCCTAAAATCGCGATATTTCTGGTTTGACAATGCTTTTATTGGAGACGTATATATCGCTCGAGTCATATGCTTCTGAGATAAAGCTATCGCATATTCTGCAACAACGGTTTTTCCTGAAAACAACAAATTCAAATTTATTTATTTATGTACTTATCAATCAGCGAAGCCCGATATTATACATTATATATTAAGCATTTGCCTCACAACAAAAAGAGAATTATTAAAAGAATTCCCAAAATTCATAGCAACTTACAAAATAAAATAAGAAATGATAACAAGTAGATCATGTTAGAGATATAAATAGAGAATAACGCAGCTAATCCTACTAAGCCACTTTCAGAGTTATAAAGAAATTCAACCGTAAACAAACAATACCATTTTGTCCCTGAACTTGTTATAGACTTGATTTAAGAAAATGTTGAATAGTGCAACAAAGTTAATAAAACAGCGTTTGGAAGGCTCTAGAAATGAAACCATTGGATAATGAAAACGATGGGCTGCCTGCTTGCCCGGTCAGAAATCCAGAGGCAGAAGGTTTTCCATGCAGAATATTATAAATATTATAAAGGATTAAAAAATCTTTCCTATGATACAGGATATCGACATCATATTCATCACATAGTAATAGTTCAAAATATGTAATTCATTAGGAATTTGTTTGTAGTGCTTGTGCATCCGCCAGTGCTGTCACTGCCCATATTGCAAATGACCAACGCATGCGCAGACCAAAAAACGATACGATTTTTTTTTTAATGTTGGTTAGGAAAGTATGTCATCAGCATAGGTAAGGCATTCAATTTACCTAGTAGCTTTATGATCTTACATTTTTGCACACTTTTACAGGCCCCTAGATTAAGCAAACTGTGTTTTTATTTTCTATCTTTTGTGTTAATACAACATGAGTATCTAGTTGAGTTTAATTAATCACTGTAATGTTTGATAAGATCTCAAGTTGATTTGGCAACATATTTGTCATTTAAATATAGAATGAAGTATAATGAGTGTATATCTACACTATGCCCTAATATATTCCTTCAACTCCGAAATGTATGCATTCTGAATACTCAACACAATTTTAAATTTCATAATAGAAGATCTATTTACCAGCTGATGTATGCGCCGCAACAAAAACGTGATTATGCTTCTCTAGCTGCAAAATTGCCAGTTGTTGAAAAATATCCAATTCAAAATTAAATTTTTTCGCCATATCCGGAATTTGTTTATCAAAATCCTTAACGGGCTTTGAGGTGTCTAATAAAATTGCCCATTCGCTTCCCTTAAGAGCAGTGGGCGGTGGCAGAACACTTAAATTAATGACAGCTGTCATTTCTTTAGGAAGGACCTCTTCTTCCTCTGGTAACATTACAAGATCCTGAGAGACATCCTGACTTTCAGTATTCTCATTTAAGTTTGTGTTCCACACACCTAAAATGTATTGCATTATAACGGAATAGATAACAGTGCACTAAAAGAATTGTATGTTACCATTGTCTTTAAAGAAACTATTCTTGTTAGTTGCCAACATCATTTACAAGTAAACATAAATTGTAACTCACCTAATAAATCTTCATCCCAATTGAGTAGGTCTAACAAATCAACAATATTTTCAGAATTTGATTTATTTATATAATCTTTAGTTTTAAGTTGTGTTTTGCCTTCCTTATCAATTGTTACTCCTCTTGAGAATCCTGGGGGTACAGTTAACAATTCTAAAAAAGCATCCATTTATGTGCAATGTAAGTCAAAATGGGACAAACCAAGAACATGGTGCCTCTAAGTGTTTTATTTATTGTCATAAGGTTAATTAAAACTAACCAAAGAAGTTTGGAAACACTAGAGACAAGATAAAGGTAACATACTTGACAATAACTAGATAATATAACTCTCAGTTATTGGTTTCTATATATTTATGGCTGAGGTATGGTTGCAAGTCCATATCAATGTTCCTAGATTTTAAATACATCACTATTATACCATGTCAGGTTTAGATTTGTATTGTATATCAGCTCTAAATTGTTTTGTCCAAAACTACATTTCAGGCATCTGGAATTAAATCACAAACATTCTGCCCCATACTTTTGTGAGAATCTGTACTACAAATGTAGTGAAACTTATAAAAAAATGAAATAAATGAATTGAAAGTTACTTTTAAAATTCTGACCAGATCCCGCAATAATTTTTCAAGTTTTTAATACTTTATATGTTTCTATAAATCAGCTAAGAATTTTCTTTATAGAAAACATTCTAAGAACAAGGATCAACAAAGTTCTACAGACAATCAAAATTTCTTTTGTCCAATCCTATATAAAAGTTGATACCATTTTGATTTTCCAGTAAATTATGTTTTGTTAAATCCTGGTTTGGTTCGGAAAAACTCGCTGGCCAAAACGGATTGTATAAGGCATTTCCTTTAATTGTTTCATTTGGCGGATTTGGAAGTCTATTTAAAGATATTGAATTAGTGGCATCGGCTCCTGCCGAATCATTTATAATCTCAATGAAGTTTATTATTTCCCCAGTATCAAGATTTCTGTGAACCTAAAATATTTTAATTAAAAGCATCTTGCTTGTATATATGTCAATACTTTCAATGTTCTTGTGGAAGGCGAAACATCGCATCCTATTAGTTCCAAAGCATCTGGTTTTCGAGCCCAAAATTGTTGGTTTTTCTCGTAATGGTGGATTGAAAGACTTTCTGCACATTGAACATATTGTTCTAACTGCTCCTTTACACTACTTAAAATAGGAGGAATTGGTAGATCCATATGGTTAACTAAAACATCTGAAACAAAATAAAATTTCTTTTACAGTAGGTTATTCCGTGATCTTCTGCTTTCTTTTGGGGATGGCACTAATGGCCATTTAATTTGGGATTCCTTAAATATACTTCTGTCAATATACTCGCATTCGAGACTCCTTAGAAGGCTTTAAATGTTTGACCACAATCTAACGTTGCTATTTGCTCTATTTGCGACGGAAATTTGTTTAGTTTCTGATATTCTGGGGTTAGGGACCGAGGATGGAACGGTAGGTAAGCCGTTGACCTACCAACTCGAACTTGCCGGAGGTTGTGGGTTCATTTCCCACCGGGAACCTTGGGTGTTATATATTTTGTTATCGGTCAATTTTCCTCGGCGGATGCCGGAAAATGAGTGCATATCCTAATTGAGATGAGCCCAATTATATATATATTCTGTGGTTTAGTTGAGAGGAGAGAGTAATACGGTCAACCATTTAACGCTTTCTCTTCTGTCTGTAAAAAGGGGTAGTAAAATAAAACTGAAAGTTAGTAAGGGTTGTTGCGGAATAGCGGCTACATCAAGATCTTGATCTGTAATGAATATCAAATTATTCCAATAAATTCTCCGAAATCAAATGCGTTTCACAAAAAAATGTTGGGCTCGACTGCTAGGATCATTCGCCCATTGCCGACTTCCGTCGAGGAACTTCGCTTCTGGTCAACGACCACCAATAACCAATAATTTGCTCAGCTAGCAAAAAAAGATTCTGACCGATACCAATAAACCGAAATCAAATAAAAATTGACTCCTGCTTCTAACTTATGCCTGGCCTAGCATATATCGGTCATTGGACACGTATGTTTAAAATGCTTTTTCTACGTACTAATGGGTTGTCTATGCCAATAACTGTGATTTGAATTAGAACATGTTTTCGTTTTATTTATTTATTTAAATCCAGCATAAGCATCATCACGAGTACTTATTTAAATTTAATTTATTAAAAATTTTTACACAAAAATTCAATGGACAAGCATCCATTTTGAATTGTAGACTTGACTTTCTTTGTTGTCCCTTTCCTTTCAAAAAGTGAAATCATTTTATTCTATGAAAGATACATATTTTAATGTTGAAATGACTACTCGTGCCGGGTGATTCTTTTTGGATTCTGAACCACTCCCCGATTAAAATTTGGTACCTATTTTTTCAAAAGGTAAATTTTTAAAGAGTTAGTTAATTGGATATATCATTATATTATTAATAATTTTAAATGCAAACTTTGTTTAAATAGGCGTCGAGCACTGACGTTTTATCAACCAAGCATAAAATATGGCACAAAAATTTGCAAGCAAGTTTTAAGACCTGATCCCTTTTTGTATTAGTTTGAAGTTTGAGTATTAACATTGGAGTTCGATCTGAAATTCCTAAGACAGTAAAGATACATATTTTATATACAGAAGTAAATTTTTCATACTTTAAATATATGTACATACAATGAAATCTTATTTTTTATAGGTATAGGTAGAGGTATTATCTCTACTTAACAAATTTGTTAATTTAAAATCTCAAAAATGAAAGCCATATAAATTTGATATTGTTTGCTACCCACTTTGCTTCTACTAAAACGCCTTATTTAGAATTGAAAGAAAAAAAATGCATTCAATATTTCTTTGCTTTTTTGAGTTACTTTCTTATTTGAAAGTGATGCTTTCCTAATTAACAATAATTTGGTAAAAAATTGATTCAATAATGATATTTAATTTTTCATGGAAACTTCCACAGGCTACTGTAATACTACTTATAAATTTTCTGGATTCCTTTTGCTTAGCAAGTTCGATTCATTAGCAACCAATGCAGGAGGCATTCAAAGGATTTGTAAATAGTAATGTTATTTTTTTGTTTAGTTCTTATGTAATCCTTTTTTTGCAGATATGGCAGTAAATGTGTATTCAACAAACGTGACCTCTGAAAACCTTTCCAGGCATGATATGCTTGCATGGGTCAATGAGTGTCTTCATAGTAGTTTCGCAAAAATTGAAGAACTATGTACTGGTGCGGCATATTGCCAATTCATGGATATGTTGTTTCCTGGCTCGGTGCAACTGAAAAGAGTGAAATTTCGAACGAATTTAGAACATGAATATATTCAAAACTTTAAAATACTTCAAGCCAGTTTTAAAAAGATGTCTGTTGATAAGGTAAGCTGTTAAAGTTTATTATGTTGTTTTTTAATTAGTATACATATTGAAATTTATATTCAAATTTCATTTTTTTGTTTTGCTGTTAAGAATGACTTCATTAGTTCTGAGGGTAACAATGTGAGACTTATTACCTTGCTGAAGGATTAATTTTGTGTTTTTCCCCATTTCCCATTTTACATTTTGGTTTAAGTATTTATCCTTTTACAACTTTTTGTAATCCATTTATGTGTTTAAATCAGTGTTCACAATTTCTATGGTCCAAGAAGTGCCATTACTTCTGAAAAGAAAATGTATATTAAATGTTTTATAGTACTTTTGCCATCCCAATTATATAGAAACTTTGTGAAAAGTAAAAACTAATTGCAATTAAAGTTTTGCTATAATAATTTTTTTTATGGCTAGATTTTGCTTACTAATTTTTAAGTACAGGATGATTTAAAGTCTATGTTTGATTAGGTGTTAATGGAAAGTGGATATTTTTTTAAAGTCGTTTTTACACAAGTGGTGTTATATAACATTTAAAAGTAATGCGACATTGTTGCTCCCTGAATATTACCGCATTTTCCGCAACTCTGGCGCTTGTATACCAACTATGATAAGCAATTAAAAATCCTTTTTAAAAATATATCATGTGTCTATTACACTAGCCAACTCCGTTAATACGACTTGAAATTGATACTATTCAAATTGCACATCAAAATTGAAGGTATTTTTTATACACTTTCTTTACCAATTTGCTTTTATTTTGAAATTTAAAAAAACAAGAGAGAGTGAGAGAGGGTGGGGGGGGGGGAGAGAGAGAGAGAGAGTTGTGGGCGGGGGGGGAGAGAAAGAGGGTACTGGGTGCAGCATTACCGATCTCCATCTTTAAAATTTTGTAGTCGGACAGCCACCATTTACCATTACCATTTAATTCACCTTATGTGTTCCATAAAATAAAAATGTGGTTTAGCTTGTGAATTCAAAATTGTAGATTATACCGGTAGATAAGCTGATTAAGGGTCGTTTTCAAGACAACTTTGAATTTCTGCAATGGTTCAAGAAATTTTTTGATGCAAACTACGATGGGCGGGAATATAATGCTCTCGAGGCCAGGGGTGGAATAGGTTTGGGAGCAAGAGCTAATTCTGGTCCACCTACTAATGGGCACCACCCAATTCGCCATGCTCCTATTAGGCAGGGTAGGATGTTAGCAAATTATTGGCTAAAGGGGTTTGCCTGACTCGTGTCATATTTATAATTCGTTGTATGCATTCAAAGTTTAGTAAACTAAAAGTCATGCAAATCTCATGAGGTTGAACAGCCAATTTCTTGAATTAATTACTTGGCTTGAGGGCGATGCGCAGACAAGAGGAGCTGTTTTTCTTTGTAGAGTAGTTGACTATACATTTCATATATTTGTTTATTTTTGTTATTATTTTATGGGGAAATTCTGTTTTAAACTGCAAAACATGTATAACATGTGTCATTGGTTTGAAGTATCAAGTCAACACCATTCAAATTTTGAATGGATTTATGTTGAATAATTTTATGTTATTTTGTCATGTGCTTTAGTGTCTGTGTGCCATCATAACGGGGAAACAGTTATCAATTATATGTTATACGGCGTAATTTACAAATAGTACTGCAAATGAGATTTAACATTTTACACATTCCACTATGTTTTCTCTAAAACCTTTAGATAGTGCCCATCGATAAGTTGGTCAAAGGCAGATTTCAGGATAATTTCGAATTCCTGCAATGGTTCAAAAAATTTTTTGATGCCAACTACAGAGGAACAGACTATGACGCTCTAGGTGCCAGAGGCGGAGAGCAATTGGGCAACGGAGGAGCTAATGCTCCAAAAGGTTCCGGCCTAATTCGAAAATCAGCCGTGGGTGTTCATCAACCCGCGCCTCCAGCAAAAACTTCGAAGCCAGTAGAGCGCGCACGTGCCAGTATGTCTGTTCAATACACGGTTTATTTTATTAAAAAAAAAGGTTTTTCTCCGATGTCTTTTCAACTATTGTTTAGGGCTGACATTCGTATTCAGTGGTTCAAAACTTTAATTCATTCACGGTTTTTTCGACTTATTCCTCAATAAATTGATATTACCAGTAGATTAATTTTAATTCAGATTTTAAATTTCTTTAAGATTTTATGACCAAGGTGGCATCGAAAATTTTTGTTTTGTTATTAAGTGAATCTTATGACCGCAAAGACATATGAAACCACACTTGATTCAAATACGTATGCTACTACGATCATAAACATTAATTTTGGACACCACCCGGGCTAAATTAGTTTGCCCTAAGTTCAGTGGGTTTATCCAGCACTTGTTTTTACACAATTCCCCCTTGCATATGAACCATCCTGGATTAAGGGTGAAAAGTTTGGCCTGAAATCTGATTTATCCGGAAGCATATATAGGTATACAGAGCATTCGGAAAAATTGATTCAAACACAGAGGGTGTTAAAATTAGAGCTAAAAATCATATAAAAAGTTTTAAAATGGGTTCGGTTATTTGTAAGTCAAGTGAAATCTTTAATTATCATGAGTTATATAAAACTTGATTATAAATAATATAAGGTATGGTTAAGCACTTCAAGTGAAAAAAATGCAAGGATAATTAAAATTAATTATTAGTAGTCTATGATATATATTATACATATGGATATATATATCTAAACGACAGGACCCATTTAGAATAGTTTTGGTTAGTTTCAGCAGGTACTTTTAATTCTAATTTTGGTTTTACGTTCAACTGCCCAGGTTGTGTACCAACTTTTCCACATACTTATAATACGCAAAATGCAATTTATATTATTAAAAAGAAATTAGAGTTTTGACCACATACTCCTAAGAAATGTTGGGAAAACATAAGTACGTCGTCAATATCTTTTTATTGTCCAATGTCTAGTTTCATGTTTCATCCCATTTGTTTTCATTTTATTTCACTGCTTTGCATTGCATTAAATACAATATTTTTCTTATTAAGTATTGTACAAAATTTTTGGTTTTAGTGCCTAAAGCGAACCCTGTTAGAACTCCACCGTCTAGACCGGTTCAAAATAGGAATGCTGGAGACCTCTCTGGCAAAATAGAAGATTTAACAAATCAAATTTCCGAGTACAAGGTAAATTTTTTTACAACGGCTTTTTCATAAATTGTGACTATTGTTAAAACTTTTTACACATAATCATTATATTTTTCCTAGGAATATAAAATGTCACCATTTCTATTATGATAAAAATGATATTTAAAATCCATTTATTTCTAAAAAAAAAGAGTTTCTCTATATGACAGTGCATCATATCAAGCTAAAATTAAAAAAACAAATCAAATTAACATTTCAAAAAATATTTGTAAATATAAGAAAAGTCAGCAGCTTATTGTAATATTTAAGACTATGTTGATCTACTACCCTGTATCACAAAAGTTACAATTAAAAAATAGGGTGTAATAACTAATAAAGTTTTTTTTTTTATGTATTTAGTTAACAGTGGAAGGTCTGGAAAAGGAAAGAGACTTTTACTTTGGAAAGCTTCGAGATATTGAGGTTATGTGTCAAGAAGCTGAAGAGAACAATCCCCTGATTCAGAAAATATTAGATGTTTTATATGCCACAGAGGTTAGTTTTTGTTTTACATTTAAGGTCTTTATTTTAACTTATTTGTTAAAAAGTCGCAAAACAAGTTAAAAAACAAAGTGTTTAAGAAGTACAAATAATATAGTAATAATTAGAATGATACATAACCAAAATGTTGTATGCCAGTTGTTTCAAATATTACCATTGGGTCTAAGACTTAAAAAGTGAAAGTGGACTAAGTTACTTATTGATAGTTCTACCTATACTTCATTTAATTATTTTAGCCGGGGATATCATGTTAATTTTAATTATTAGAGAGATAAAGCCTAAAAATCCAGAGTTGTATGTAATTGTGGTGACAATAAAATTTGAAGCAAGTGGTATGATGGAATTTTAAAAGCATGGAGGTTTGTGTTATTAATAATAAAGTATTTTTTTTAGGAGGGATTTGCTTCTCCCGATGAAATTGAAGGGGGTGCAGGAGATGAAGACGAATATTAAAATTATTAGCTAAAGCAAATGTCACTTTTGCATAAGTTGCTTTGGGTTATTGTAAAATGATATTTCAAGCTACATTAAATTTTATATCATTTGGTTAAGTTTATTCACTATAGGTTTATAGGAGTGTTACTGTAATCCAATATGTGTTTTGAAATTATCACATCTCCCAGATGTTCATGAATTATTAATCATTTCTATTTTATATAAAATTACTGCAGTCAATAAATCTTGTCATATTATGGTTTCATCGTGTCCCTATTAACCTTCAAATCCTTAATCTTGATGTTTACGGAAACACTTAAACAAACGAACATTGAATGAGCACGGACAGCTCACATCAGCACGCTGAGATCGCTCGGTATTCTCGAAGGGGCAAAAATTGCCGACTTCTCTGTTCTGCTGTTATTCGTAAAGCAACAGTGATTGTGTGGTATTTATATCTAAGATGTTCGACGAGCTTTTGCTAGAAACCGTTGAATTGTATAAATTTGTATATGATCCGGAAGATCGATTTTATCATGATAGCATTAGAAATGAAAATGCATGGACGCAAATGTCATCATCATTTTGGTACGTAATCCAAATACATGTCACTTGATGGACACACACTCCCTAGGGACTACCTTTCTATTCTGACATCACATGCTGTTGGGTTTCTGCATTTTGATCTGTTATTCATTAATTAAATGTAAACAAGTGAATATATTCTTGCGGCACGTTTGTTTTGCCTAACATTTTATTCACCTAACATAAAATAAAGTGTTTCCTGTGTATCCAAATGAGTAAAAGGTATTTTAAGAGACAGAGCTTTGAATGTTTGTTTTACATGAACATGGATAGTCTAACTGTTTTGTTGCATTTAAAGAGGAATTACTTCAAACGCAGATTCGATATAGTTGATGCATAGCCAATACGAGCTATAACTTGGAAAAATTATTTTTATTCATGATGGTATGGATAACTCTTCCTTACTGCAATAAGTCTGATGTAATTTTCGTAAAGTCTGAAAACGAAATCGGTAGAAACTGAGCAATTTCAGGAAGGTAATACTGAAATGTGTGCCTTTCAAATACCCATAATGCAGACAATACTTGCGTCAATGCACAAGAATAAAATCAAAAAACACGTCTATTAGGGAATTTTAAATGAAGGATTTTCCAAAAACAATTACTAAGTGCAACTATGTGAAAAAAGCACAGTTTTTTATGTAACAATTTTCAAAGGGCCTCTTCTCCCTCTTTAATAATTTTAAGACAAATGTTTTCTTAAAATTTATTGATCATATATAAAATTATACATTCTCACTTGGCGTTCTTAAGATATTCTTTTAGGACATCCAGCGCTGGTGATTCCTCACCATAATCCTGAAACATCAAATACAAGAATTAGTAATAAATTAGCTTAAGAAATAGTTCAATCAAAGGAAAAGACTTTTTTAAGCACATTAAGAATAAGTAATTCGATGCCAGTCATTAAGAATTTCGCACAAAGCTAAATTGTAAGTTTGATAAATTTTTGAAGTTTTGAAAAATGTTTGTTATTCTAAAAATCAGTATCTAACTAAGTGAATATTTAAAACTGAATTTTAGGTCAAAACATTTTTGCCATTAGTGACTTAAATTTGAAAGAGAAAAAAGCAATTCTACTTGTGGTGTTGCATCAATACAATAACAACAAATGAATTAAATGAACTGTTATTAATTTAAACAAACTCATTACCAGCGAAACAAAGCAAAAGTAGAACACTAATTAAAATTAACTGTTTATAAATACCCAAAATTTTTTAGTATATATAACAACTCTCAATTTCAGCTGAGAACTCTGATTATACTTACCCTAATGACAACACAAGAGCATCCAACGACTTTGCGCGCTTTCCCTGTGTTGTCTATTTTACATAGACCAGACCATTCTCCTAATTTTTTATTGTTGTCAACTTTAATAAGGTCAATCTGATGTTCTGCACAAAGGGCAGAAACAAGTTGTTTGTATCTGAAACAAAATTATACACAAATTGGTACCTGGAGTATAACTTGAAGTGAAAAATTACTGTATAAACATTTCAATGTATTTGCTACTAAATTTATTTAAATTTTGGAGTCACCTTTGTTGAGCAATTGGAACAACTTCCATTAAATGGAAATAATTTTAAAAAAAATTATCATAACAAAGCCTCAACTATTCCAAGGGGTTTTGGTCACACCATGTGCATGATTTTGAAATATGGGTAACAGTTCACATACCGAATTATAACAACTTAGTAATATAAGTGATTTACACACCTTGGTTCATCACAATTCTCAGCCAACACACACAACACAGCCTGCCTTTTGTCAAGTGCTTTTGCTGCTTCATGTAATCCATGAACTACGCCATCATGGATAAGGGCAATTTTTAGTACTTCCTGTAGGGCTTGGTTAACATCCATTGAATTGCCCGAAACTGGCATCTGAACGGGGGCTTCATCTCTAAAAATGTTGGTTAATTTAAGCTGCTTTATATTGTGTTGTGACATCCAGCCAGGCTCAAATAAAATATAACATTTTTACATAACCAGATTTTTAAATGAAAAAGTGTTCAAAAATTCTTTAACCAAAATATTAATTCATATATTGGTTCAATTTGCAACAACACTAATAAATCTAGGGTCATTACAGTAGTTAGAAATAGCTACAATTTTGAGATTTTGACAGTCTATTTTACCTTAACTTAGCAGTTTAATTGTCCCTATTTCATTAAGCAATCCCAATTTGGTTTGAAGGAGATAAAAGATATATGAACTAGGTAGTTTAGCTAAAACTTCAATTAACTCATAAATTTCATTCTTGTTTGGCACCAACACGGCTCAAAAAGCAGTTAAAAATCTGTTGAAATTCCAATTTTAACTGAAAAACTTCTAGAAAAAACGTTTTTTTTTTCAACTCAAAATCTTTTTCCATTAGACATCATAGGCCTTACTATCGATTTTCTGATAAATTTTAAAATCCAGATACAACTTGGTTAGGTACTCACATTTCAACGTCAGACATTTTTAACTTTCCTGGAAAATATAAACGTAATAAACCTCAACTAGGCTTTAGAAATTAAAGAAACTTGGAATAATCATGGGATGGAAACAAATTTATTAGATAAAAACCGATGTAATTTACCAAGCTACAGCCACTAATCAGTAAACGCCAATCCAAAAAGAACCACAGATTACAGACTCAACCAAACCACAGAATACGAAACAACCACCCTACTACTCATAATATGTATTGCATATATACTGTTTGTAAGGAATTAAGACAAAATGAGAGAGCATTTTGCAGTTGCAAATCCTTAATGTGGGTAAATAAACCTTTTATTGTTTAATAAGTCTTGTTATTATTTCTCTTTTTCTCTATCAGTGCAGGTCAACGTCGTTAAAGCCAATCTTTCTAGAAACGGACAAAATTTGTCTCTCTCGTCTTTTACAAAAAAAAAATTTGGATTTCCTCGCACTACTTATTACAAATGTTGCTCTATACATTAAAATCAAATGTTAAGGAATTTATTGAATTAAACGCCCAAACCACGTCAAAGGCTAAAATATCCTCCTATGCAAATTACAGATTAAATTTGTTTCGAGTAAAGCGGCGAAAACTAATCTACCAAGTCTAGTTTACTGTTCTTGGGACTCAACATCCTGTAAAACACACAGAAGAAGATATGATAAAAGAAAAAAACAATGCATTTATTCAAATATGCTAAAAATAAAATTTCATTGACCTTAGCACAGATACCTGGAGACCGAAGGATAATAAATCTAGAATTAAAGATACGCCGGTATTACCAATATAGTTATTAGATTGTATTTCGGCCCTACTAGGAAAAAATTGATGCGGCGCAGACGGCATTGATATTTTTATAGAGATGGTAATGATTTTCAGCAATATAGCTACTAGGCATATAGAGGCCCTGTCTATGCTGATAGTATAAGAACTCATGAAGCAACTATGTAAAAAAAATGCGCCATTTCCGCCATTACCTCTTTATAATAATACTGCAAGGTCATTGGTTAAAAACAGGACGAAGGAATCACCTCGATCTACGCAACTTTAACAATTATTGCATTCCTCATTATCGATTTACTTTGTTTCGCTGTAGAGTCATTTATAATGCTATTATAATTTATATTTTCTCGCGGCTCAGTTATCCGTAGTGCCGTAGTAGGTTTCTCCTTTTATTTAATAATTAATAAAATTCTAATCCTAATCTTTACATCGTTAATCTCGTTGTTGTCCAAAATTCTCGTTATATGTTTTTTATAGTTAAATCTAAGTAGTCGTGAGACTAGACTTCGCCTGTTGTAAGCTTATAATTAAGACTTTAAATTAAAAAAAGTTTTTGGTTTCTATAACCAACCAATCTTTTATCTACGATTAAGAGAACAGTTGAACTATGAATTTTTTCTTAACCTATCTTTTTGTGTGGTTTGCCATTTCCATTTATATATATTTTTTTGCATAGGCATACATGGATGATATTGATATTAATATTAATGACTTTGAAGTCAAAAGAAAAAGAGATAGATCTAATACAACCATGGAAGTAGATACATCCAATGAAAGAGAAGGTCAATCTAATTACAGCCCACCAAAAAGCAAGCGAATGAAGACCCAATCTTTCTCAGAAGCTAGGGATGACATGAGAAAGGTTTTTATTCCTGCACACAGATACACACCTTTGAAGGAAAACTGGCTAAAAATATTCACTCCAATTGTAGAATATTTACAGTTACAAATTAGATTTAATCTGAAAACTAGATGTGTTGAAATTAAGGCTTGCAAAGAAACCAAAGATATTGCTAATTTACAAAAAGCTTCAGATTTTATCAAGGTAATTAAACACTTTACATTACAGTTTAGCAGAATTGGTTCATCTGTTCTTATAGAAATATTTTTGGAGTATTCAATGTAAAGCATTACTTTTTGGTATTTTAGGCATTTGTGTATGGATTTGAAGTGGAAGATGCATTAGCCTTACTGAGACTTGATGATCTTTTTGTGGAAACATTTGAAATCAAAGATGTGAAAACTTTAAAAGGTGATCACCACTCACGAGCTATAGGTCGATTAGCAGGTAAAGGTGGCAGAACAAAATTCACAATAGAAAATGTAACCAAAACCAGAATTGTTCTGGCAGATGGCAAAATCCATATATTAGGAAGCTTCCAAAATATTCAGCTGGCTAAAAGGGCTATCTGCAATTTAATTTTGGGATCACCGCCCTCTAAAGTTTATGGACAACTACAAAATATTGCAGCTAAAGTGTCAAATCAAATATGATTTTGTGAAAATTAAATATTTTAAAGAATGATTGTCTTTTAATTACATTCATCACACAATATATATTCAGTTTTATCAATTTAACATTTGTTTAAAAAACATTTGTACAAAATTGAGGTAATCAATTTTACTTCAGGGAATATTTCTGCATGCAAGACAATATATTCAAACTTACTATGCTAGATTTAATATTTTATCAACTATTCTTGAAGAATCTTAAATAAATCACTGCAATTAGTATTAAAGTCTCTAAAATTATTATTAAAATTAATATAAGCTTATTATAAATCACATTCCTTCCCATTTTAGAAAGCAAATATTTTGCATTATCCAGTTGCTGATTAGCATCCTCCAAGCGACCTCTGGTTCGGAGCAATGATTCCCTTTGTTCTCCCAACTCTGAAATCATCTCGTTTCCTATTTCTTCAGTTTCAATTGCTATTTGGTTTGATCTAGCTATACTTTCACCAGTGCGTTCTAATATTGCAGTCGCTTCTCGGACTACTTCTCTTTTATGATGTTCCAAGTCATAACCATTTGTTTCATTAAACATTTTTCTGAGAATTTTAACTAAATAATCAAGCCGCTACTTCTAAATTTCTAAATTAATAATTCCCAACAAAAAAGTTTCATTTTCACGTTTGACAGCACAGAATGTTAAGTTACATGGTTTATATAGGAAAGTCAGTTTTGCCTTTTATTATTAAAGCACAGAGTTAATTGGAATATAGACAAAAAATATGAAATAGATTAGAAAATAAAAAAATTGTCATAATTTTTACTTGCAAAAATAAATCTAAAACACTCTCAGCGATATTATCATTGTATCATATTTAAAATGCGATATGCGCATTGCATTTTTCGTTTTGCTATTGCTTTGTAATAATTTTTGGATAGTTTCCCTATATCTATCCTAATTTATTTTTAGAAAATTAATTTTTGTCCTTATTTCTTGCTAAAAAACGTAGCTACAATAAAAAATTAATTAATACAAAGTACAGTACTCCTTTACAATGCGGAGAACCAAATAATTTTCTAACGACCGTGCGGACGTCTTGGTACTTTGTACTATTTTCTAAAATACCAATCATGAAAGTTGATGCTGAGCCTGTGCTTGTTTGAGTATATTTGTGCTGCACAGTTCCTTCGTTTTCGTTATTCACGCTGGTTGGAGGCCGGATGGGCCTGGATGGTCCATGGCGGAGGCGACTGATAGCCGTTTTATCTGGAATCACTCTAAAGTTCCCGTCGGGGATTTAATTGTTTGCGATGTCAAGTCATACCAGGTCATACTATATGACCGAAATAAAAAAATCCTCAACAGAAATCGGAAATGAGCAAATAATCCTAGGAGTCTGCCTGACAGAAATTAAGAAACGATTAATTAAATTGAATTGATGGAACGAAAACACAATGTTTCGATTCTCTGGATGGCATTGCACGAGACATGTCGGCCCTTCTCCGCTGCTTACAAAATCTGTTTTTCGACGTTTAAGACTTGTTTTCGGTCAAATTGTTATTATGTTGGATCTTAGTGAACAGATACTGCCTTTTTGATGATGTAGGTGTCCCGCGGTACCACTGTTTTCTTCATACACGCCGGTAATCAGGCCGGATGAGCCCAAGGGTAGGTAGTGGAAGCGAGAGGGACCGTGTTTTTTATAGTATCGGTTAAATTTTTTTTTCCGACGAATATCAGTAATTCTGTTGGTCGCTGAACATGAGAAATCGTTAACCTTATTTGCTTTAAACTTAAAACGTTGTTTGTTGTAAGCTGGTCGAATTGCCTTGTGTTACTGTGGCCAAGTAAAATCTAATGGAAAAGCGAAGGAGAAGAAGACAAAATGGTTCAATGCATCCTTTCTGTATCTTATATATGGTTTAATGTCATAAGATTGAACGAACGTACGTGATGCTCCGTTTCTTCCCAGCTCTTTCATGATTTTGATTTACTTGATTATTTTGTTTGTTACATACATGTCAGTTTTTAATAATTATTGATAATGTATTCTTATGAGTGAGTATTTATGTGATGTATATTTTTTGTAGTAACATTATACATTTTTCAGGACAAAGCATATTTCCCATTCAAGTTGCAGTATTCTTGAGCGAAGTTTTATAATAAATAAAAATAAAAAGAAAATTAAAGAAACTTTAGTTTGGTGTACAGTTAATATTTGTTTGCTTTGCCTACTATTATATGATTTGTAAGTTAAAAGATTTAATGAATCTTGGTGTAAAATGAGTCTGATTCATTTTTTTTTTAATTTTTAGTTTTTCAACATGTCCTTTATATTTGAATTATTATCACTATATTGAATGTGGTTTGATAATAATATTTTCAATAAACATCTTTTATTACATATTGAGACTAGGAAAACTTTATATTAATTCATCTGACATGTCCATAGCACAAACTGAACAAAGCAAACTGTTACTTAAAAGCAGTTCAGGTATACATAAAGACAACTTTAAGAATATATTAACTTTCTTTTGATTTTTTCAGATCCAAGCCACAAAATTGCAACATCAGTTAAGTCAATTACATATTTGTCAAGTCTCGGATCTAACAATGTTTTGGGAACTCCTATGAATGTATCAGAATTAAGTTGGAGATCAACTGCCTCATCCGGTGAAAGTAAGTATGGATTTTCATATCACATTTTGCAGTAAACGCAATTTTCAATATTTAAAAAATTGTAAACAGAGAAATAAAAAAGGTAGTCAAATAGTGATTGTTTAGCCTTAAAAATTACTACATGTAAAATATTAAACTAAAATATATTCCTAAAAATTAATACACATATGTCGTCGCGCAATTTAGGTTTTCATTTTTCGGCGCCATCCTCACCCAGTTATCAGAAAACTACTAGTACCGATATTTCGCAATTTTCTCCAGTTGGCATTGGTCGCCATTCACCGTCTTTTGCAAAACAGTCCTCCCCACCTATTTTGCGATTTCAAAATAGTTTGGTTGATATTATTGATGATGAAGACAGTTTGGATCAGTACATCAAGGATCATGAAGCATCAGAAAAGGTAAACCTCTATCTGATATACAAAAAATTTTCTTTTGTTCAATCAAATATAAATAATATAAATATAATATATACAAAGAATTTTTTAAACATTTCAAAAAAACTATTTTCAAAATTTCTGGATTTCTCCTGCATTGGTTGTTGTTGAATCGAACTTGCTGGCGTTTAACCAATTATCCTGTTTGCTTCTTCAGTTTCTCCAGTTTCAGTAAAGCTCTGAAAAAGCCAAAGCGAAATGTTATAAAGTTCAATTGAACAACAACCGACGTAGAAGGAATCCAGAAGTTTTGTAAATAGTAAAGAATTTTTAAAATGTTTAAAATATTTTGGAAATTTTTCACTGCAAATTTTACAAAGGTATTTTTTTAGTTGAAAATGTTAGTAGAATTTAAGAATTTGGCACACGGAAAACACTTGAAGACACTAATTCAGTTGAGTTTCCTATAAAAAATTTTGAAGAATTAAAGTTGGAACATAAAAAAAGTAGTTTTAAATTGCTTACAAATGCAGATGTTAACAATACTTGTGTTTTTCAAAATAAATTATAATCATTACATTTTTAGAAGCAATTTATAATTAGATATTAAGAAATGCCGCTTACAATCTTATCTTATTATCCAGCAACAATGCATTAAAAGTTCTCCAGAACTTTTAATATGATGCTCAACATGAATCGTGCTATATACCTTTAGGTGAACAAGATATCAGAAAAGTCCCAAAGCTCCTTCAACCTTCTTAGTTCATTCTGGAGTCACCCAGTTGCAAAGACTACCAAGGATATTTCATCATTTTTGAGTAAAAGCCAATATCAGTTAGCAACTCAGTCTCTAAGTAAGTAAGATGTAGTAGAATAGAATGGAATAATATATAAATGAAACAATTCTGGGTTTACAAGAAAAAATACATATAAATTCAGAATAAATCAAGTTAAATATGGGAAAGAATAGCAAACCAGTGAAGTTTTTGATTTGTTAAAATTGCATTTCTGTCATTTCAGAAAGTGAATATAGGGCAACTAAACTACTTTGCGCGGATTTGTATTTAGATTTGTAGAGTGTTCATATTCAGCTCAGTTTTTGAATTCCAAAAAAAGTTGGTACATAGGATCGCGGCAATTTCGAATTCCTACCTGCTTTCCGAGATTTCTACTCGGTCCAAACCGCTGGCTGAGGAAGTGGGAAGCAAAACAAATGTATCGGGAACTATGGAGAGATGTACGGGGCGGACATGATACATAATAAATAGAAAAGAGAAATAAAAATAAAGAAGTGCCATAACATCTATAATGATTATAATTAAACCACAACAAAAAGCAATGATTTTTGTGAAACTGTCTTTAAAATACAATAGCAATATTTACAATTGCAGCAAAACGTCTAAGCAGAAGTCCATCTAAACCAGAAGATCAAACCTCATTAGCTTCAAATATTTCCGCCTTAGAAGTGTGGACTAGAATTAATGTCGATACTGTAGCTTTAACCAAATGGAACGAGAATCTGCGAAGAGTAAGTGTTTAAAATAGCTATGTCCTGCAAAAATGGCTGTTCTCAGTGGCAATTTTTGCATATTCCAGAGGAATTTGTTTATGATCGGTGAATAATTTTGTATCTTAGCGTAAGGAGTAGAAAAATTCTAAAAATTAAACAAATAATTTAATATCATTGTTTAAAAACTATAAAAACTAACAATGCTTTAAATTCCTTGATTTTGTGTTAATATGATTTCTATTCAAAACTGAATAAATATTTTTAATAATAAATTATAAAGTGACATTTTTAAAGTGCTACTAATTTATAACGCGGGTTAAATGTTATATGTCAAAATTAGAAAAAATAAATTTATAGAAATGCCTAAATACCGTACTATAACAACTAAAGTTCATTATTGGTTAAATTATTTTTATAATATTTGGAATTTTGTTTTATGAAAAATTGAAACAGAAAATGTGTTATTTTAGTGGATATCTCAAACTATTATTGAAAGGTTGGTTAAGGAATTTGATGTAATAAATGATTCACTAGAGAAACATGGTATGACAGATATAAGGGTAGGAAGCGTTGGACTCGATAGACTCAGGAAAACTTCCCAAATGATTCAAATCACTCAATTTATTCCTTCATTAACTACAATAATCCCATTTCTAGAAGTTCATGCTAATCAAGACTATTTAGAAAAGAGAATACGAGAACTCGCCAAAGGTGGTTGTATGAGTGAATTTAAATGGAACAGAGGAGGTAGTTATAATGGTAAAGAATGGGATGATTCTTTACCAACAGATTGTTCTGTAAGTAGAAAGTTGTGTTATGCAGACTCCCAAGTTTCCACCTTTTATATTAATTGGACCTTTCTATTTTTTTAGGTTATTATGCATTTATTTGCTTCTTATCTTGATACACAATTGATGCCATCGCCTAATATGCCAGACACTAAGGCTTTTAGTGGGCATTACTATGTTAAGGCTACAGAGAAAATGGCACCCTCCACTCCAAATACTGTATACATTCATGAAGTTTCAGAAAAACCCCCTCATTATAGGATTATTGTTGGAGAAAAGAGTTATGAAATGGTTAAGGTCAGTTTTATTCTAAATTAGAATACCACGATTAGGACCAGATTTTAATTATTATATTTTAAGATTTGAATACATGTGGTTGCTTGTAATTTTGATTTGGTGTATCAGCTAAAGTGTTCATAAATTCATAAATTATGACCTCACAATGTTTATTGTGTTCACTATTCAAATTTTGGTTTACACTTTCTTCAACCCAATTTTGAAGTATAAATCTCAGTTCTAATGTCACATAATTATAGAGGAAGTCACAATAGATGGTCTGAGTCACAGTGTAACTCTCTCGACTTGTTATCTAAGCTAACCTTAATTTTCCCAAATGTTAATTTGAAATGTAACAATCATAATCTATGTTTAGCATATAATCAGGTCTTTTTTAGATGTTAATGGCGTTATAGAAATTCTCTTTCTTTCAGGGCTACAATAACTTGTTTCACAGCATCTTGTTCTTCATATACCATGTAAATAAAATTGAACAAGGAATGTTAGGTCGTGTGAACCTTGGAAGGGCAGGTGTAAACATGTTATGGATTATAGGTTTAAATGAATAGGGTATTTTTGTAAATTCTTAATTAAAAATTTGTGAACTGTCATGATCTATTTTGATTTTGTTGTGAATGGTGGTAGTGTGTTCGGCAGTTGGAAAAATAGGTTTCAATTTTATTGGTTTGGTTCGGCCATTTCTTACAATAATATTTTTTAGGCATATTGTCAAAATAAGTCCTAACATTAATTTAAGCAGATAATAGATAGATAAAAATAAAAAAGATATTTTTCTATTTGGTTATGGTTTTCGTTAACATCCCATATGTCTCTTTTAATCACAATGAAATATTTATATTAAGATGAGATGCCCCAGAAAATTTTGAAAGCAAATCTCTAAAATTCATGTTTCAACTCTAAGTAAATATATTTTTTGAAAATTGCATTATTGTAGTGTGTTTTTTTATTTCACATACTTGGAATACACCATGCTTGGCAGTAGGTATTTTCAAAACTTTTCTTTAAGTAGTCTGTCAAATAACTGCTACATATTTACAGTACTTACAAAAAATGATATATATTTTAATTTTTCAATATCACATATCTTTTTTACCAATACAACACAAAAACAAAACTGATAAAGTTTTCTTAAAAATAACTTTATACATTCCACAAAACATTTTGTTGTAAAATAAGGTCCTTATAATATAATACTCAATTTCAAATACAATTAAAATTTATTGAGAGGTCAAAGGTGAAATACCCACTTGTCTTGGATCAGTGCAAACAGTTGACTCTAAGTTCTTCAATAACTGGGATAACCAATGGTTGGTAGATTTGTCCTCTTGTAAGCACACACTGAAGGTATTATCCTTTAGCTGATCTGGTAAACATTGCCTTAAAGCTTCCCTAGCTCTTGGATTGTCTGACAATCTTAAGTAACATCTTACTACATGCTTTAAAAGCCTTGCAGATGGTTCCTTTGCTAATGAAATTACCATTTTTCCTAATATCATAGCCACATGACTAAATCTATCATAGGTTTGGCAAATATAAGATAATCCGCTATCATCCAGGAGTATTTTCTGTAGAATAAAAGTAGCAACAGTTTTACTAAGTTCAGATCCAGTTTCCATGATCCGAAGACAAAGCGGTATGATTTCTGTAGTCAAGAGAAAAGTTATCACTTCTTGTTCATCAGTTTTTACAAGAGCTCCAATTACCCCAAGACTTGTTAAACGAAGATATTCAAATGGTCGAGTCTTTGATACTGTATGTAAAAAAGGGTATAAAAATAACGGAATATGCGCAAGAAGAAACTGAGATCTTGTTTCTGGATGTGATGCTACACACTGCAAAAGTGCTAAGGCATTGCATACCCGATTTGACTGATGCGCCGTAAGAGTCGGTGGATTGATAGCGGGATAAATATTTAGAATTTCCTGAAGAAGGGCAGCTGTTGTACCAAAGCTATTCCACAACATAGAAGCTAAATCTGGAACTACTTCTCTTTTTTTGCTTAACTCGAGAAGAGCGTTTTCTCTTGTCTCGGGGTTTGTTAACTCCAAAATCCACTGGAATACTTTTTCCCGTTCGACTGAAGAATTTGCTGGACTTTGTTGTGTACTCATAATTATTTTATACTACCCACAGACGATTAAATAATTAATATGTCAATGCCAATCATAGATAAGAGTTTTTTGCGAATACATCAAAATGAAAGCTTCTTCTTTACCACGTTCTCATATAAATGAATAAGCATATTGACTGCGATCATTCGGTAATTGCCAAGTTCCGACGAGCGCTAGACTTTTTGATCATTTATGATCAACGCTTAAGGATAGTAAACTAAAAAGGATTTTGATCTGTTTTATGATATCACTTATAGGAACTGGGTATCATCCATCTGCATACATTGGGAAATGTGTTTTAACGAATAAGAAGAAGAGGGGCTGATCACTTCCAAGTTTGCTGCTAACTTCTCATTATTCGTTTCCCGTGCTTTGAGATCAATTAATCTTTCACCGATAAATAAAATACATCGTAAAAAATGATTAAAACTGGGTAGAAAGGATCGATCGCCATCCAGATCAAGAGCATGGTTTTCCGAATGATCCCACTCAGTCTTGGACGAACGGATCAATAAATTGGAAAAGCGACTCAGCAGAAAAAGGAAGGGAAGGGCTCCCTCAACTTCTAAGTTCAATAGACAAGGTTTGCCAAAAAAATTTGACAGCACCCAATGGAATCACAGTCCCAGGCACCAATAAAGGGGTCATCTGATCACAGTAAGCAAAATATTGCTGAAGAGTCCCAAATCAAGGGTTCAATAGGGCTTCTGAAAATGGCTCCAATAGACCTTCGAAAAATGACTTTAAGAGGGCCTCGGAAAATGCTCCAATAGGGCTTTGGAAGCGAGTCCAGTAGGACTTTAAATGAACTGGATCCTATAGCATCTTAGATCAAGAAATGGTAGAGTGCTGGGGCAAAAATCTTTTAAAAGGGGAAACTAGCATTAGCCTCCCCCAGTATCTAGCTTACTGTTGGCAGGGAGAGCCAGTTCCCTGAAGATTAAGGACCACTGTGCTTTATTGTGTGTGTGATATTGTGACACATTTGATAAAGACACGGTGTTGTCGAAACAATTGTCATATCAAAATATATAATTTCGTGAAAATTTGAACTTTTAGTTCTTATTTATCTTGTTTAATGTCGACTATGGTAAATCAAAATTAAGTCTGAAAAACGAACATATTTATCTGAATTTTTATTCGATTTCACTAAAATACGTATTCCATCAACACCAGAATGAGTAAAAATTTTCTCATTATTAAACCAATTGCTAGCAAGAAAAAGCTTCTCTATAAGGTGTTTTGCAAGGTACTAGGGGCGCTTGTAGCAACTTTCCTAGCCATTAAGTATACTTGGCTTTACACAAAGGAATTGAAAAGCTTTAAGATCTTAGCTCTGACCTGGAATAATCACAACTACCGTACAGGTCTTTGTTAGAGGCCCTACAATTAGATATGTTTTGGTGCCAAAGGCTTTGAAAAAATCTTTTAATATGATAAGGCAAGACGAGTTTGATTATGAGGTGATTACTGCTTCCAGTCTATTGGGCTTAGGAGGGTTCATGTCGGATAGTTTCTTTAATCTAGTAATTTTGCATGAAATGTAATCTCTATTTGAAAAAAAAAAACAGGATGTCGCACGTCCCAATTTGGGGACTGTTTAATTTTTTGAAAAGTAACCATAGAAAGCAATTTCCATGCATGTAACACATCTGTGGAAAATATTTATCTATGAATAAATCTGTCATTTCTATTGTTTGGCTAGTCAAAGAAAAGCTAAAAGAAGAAGAAGCTATTTTGGTGTCGGTAAGGGGCGAGTTTCCTTAGTACATTTGTCAATTTACTGAAATGCAAAGAAGAATAATAATTGTAAGCTATATATGACCGAATGATACTTGGTACATAGATTAGTTTTTGCAATGGTGGTTTCATATGTAAAAATGTTCTAAATGAACAAGTATGGATAATTATCGCAAAGGAAAGAATGCCGAGGAACCGCTGGAGCGTAATAAACTTCCTTTTTTTAATCTTCCCGAAAAATTTTTGTGGATGCAAGTGCGGGGTGGAACCAAAATTCGAAATGTGCTTAACTTCGCTTTAGAGAAATTTGCAGAAACACAATGTATTGTTTGGACGGGTTTTGGCCCGTCGATTGGGAAAACTATTACCTGTGCTGAAATTATGAAACGAGAGTATGGTAACTCACTATATCAAGTTACAAAATTATCATACAGGTCTGTAGAAGAATTCTGGGATCCTATACTACCTGAATTAGACCAACTTGTTGTAAAAAGACAAATACCTATGATCCATATCCTCTTAACCAAGAATCTTGTCAGTAAAGAGGAATCAGGATATCAACAATCAACTACAGTCAGTCCATTCACGAAAAAGATAAAAAATTAGTAGTTTGTAAAAATATATTGTTCTGTCAAATTTCCTATTAACAAACCTGAGTATCTAGAACAGAAATTATTATATAATTGCAGTTTTGCAAGAAAATAAAGAACAAAAAACTGATACATCACTTTTTATTGTAAATGTGAAATTACTGTTTTGAACATTTCCAAATTGAGTCATTACAATTTTAGCTGGTGTTGTGCTTAATTAGGTTCCAGTTTTTAAAGACAGAATGTAAATATATTTCTTAAAATTTAATACTACAAAAACATTTAATTTATAATAATCTTGATATATCTTTTGAAAATCATTTGAATACTTTCATTCCCAAACTTGCCTGGTAAGTGTTCACATATAAGTCCTTGATTACTTATTATTTTAAATACTCGATGAAATTGCTGTCAAGTAGCTGCACCTTTTGATTTTCAAAGACCAAAAACAAGTGTTTTGCAATCTCTGTAAATCTGGCTTATCACATGTAAATTCCAAGATTAAATTTTGAACAAATTTTTAAGATTTCAATACAGGCAAACATTCTGTAATTCTATAATGAAACAAGAACAGGTAGAAATGTAAATTTGTATTAACGAACATGGTTTAAAAGTATAAATAAGTTTTCAAAACAAATTGTATATATTTAGAAACAAATGCAAAAGTGCGCCTAAACAAACCAAACAAGATTGGTTACGAGTCAATATTATGAGTTTCTTTAATTCCCATGTCCATTTCATTTTCGCTTATATGTGCATCTTTATCACTGTCTTGTTTCTTAGCTAATCTTAGTACATGGAGTATTACCTCGTCTACTGTTTGGTTGTTTAGTAATTCTTTCACTGCTTGATCATCAATAACAACCTAGAATACAATATAATTATAATCAAGTATTTTTTCGAACTAATTTCGGTATTCTTTGTGGTAACCTATTTGTATAAGTTTTTTACTTACCGTAAATAATAACTTAGCATTTTCTCTCATTCTTCCTATGTAATCGTATTTCTCCTGGGAGGCAGGCTCATGCCCACATCTTCTGATAACAGAGTCTAAAACTCGGTCTACAGGAGCATCTGGATGACCAAATTCTACCAAACACTCTTCATCTACTAGGAGAGTTAAAAGTTCCTTAACTAATTCTAAAAAATGGTATAAACTTATTCCCTTGGATGTTGAAGTCAATAACATAACAAACTCCGAAACTGGGAAGTTTAGTATCCAAAAATAAAGATTTTAACTAAACTAATTTTGTTTCAATATATTTTTTCTCTGGAAAGCTCGCCATCATTTTTTTTTTCAGATACACTTCGGGCGAATAGACGACACAATTTGGAGTATTTCATGATATAATTTCATTGGATAATATGGGATAATCTTTATTCTTACTTGTAATGCAACATATGGATGATTTACGTTAAATGCGATAAATGTTTATGGAAAACGAGAAGTGGGATGGTTTCTAAAGTTTGGTTATTTACACATAAGCGACGACGATCTATTGACCTATAAAATCTTAAGCGATGTGAAATTGCTGCCCCTTCGAATAAGCAGCAGCAATATGGGTCAAAAACATTCAAAGTTTTATTCAGTTTTATCCGAATTTATCAGGTAAAATTACAAAATCAAGTTAATGGTTATCAGAGAACACTCAAATAAATTCAAGAAGAAAATAGGATAGGATACCTTTGGTCATCCTAGAAATACTTTAACTATCTGAACTTTCTGTTAATTCCCCTGTAGCTCTTAACGTTTCCAAGATGTCTATATTGTGCACACTTTATATATCAGCCTAATATCTCACTTACCAGTCAATGTTAACTCATTCCATATTATGTTATTGCTCAAATCAAGTTTGGCTCCTTTACTGCTGGCTGCTTCCAACAATCGTTTTTGTAACCGTTTTTTCTCTGCATTTGACATTATATCTTCTAAAACATCCCGATGTCTGGCTCTTATATGTCTCATGAGGCAGTCCTGTCTTATAAAGGCTCTACCACAAGTTTCACAGCTAACAGGCGGCTCTTTGCGATGTATAAGTTTATGAATCTTTAAAGATGATTTCACCGCAAAGCGTTTTTTGCAAATATCACATTCGAAAGCTAAAAAAAAAAACATTTTAAAAACGAAGTATAAAGTTCTTAGCACATTTATGACATTTTTTGACAATAATGTAAATGGATTAAAAAAATGTTCCTTGTGTGCTGAATTCAACAATAATGTATGTAGTTAGATCAGATATAGGGAGATATGTATATAAGAGCTCAAAAACTGTACAGATTTCAAATTTATGTGCCTAATAAAATACTGTTCAAAAAGTTTTCTCTAAATAAAAGATGTTAGTTAAAAAAAAAATCTTAAGTATACTGTTATACACATAAATGAGCAACTATACCAAATAAATCTGTATTAGTTTAAACAGTATCCATGAGGGTGGTTGTAAATTGAAGAAATTTTAGCAAGTGAAAATATGCTCCTTTTCCCTTAATTCTTAGATATGGTGAGTATACTAGGCATAGTTCAATTGGAACTTACATAAAAAAAATGGGATGGATCAGAAATTTTGAAACACCCTTTACATGGACATAATCTTTAATCATGAGACCTTTTTTTTACTTAAAACTTATACAATTCAATGCTTACCTTTTTCTCCACTATGAATTACAACATGTCGCGCAATGTCTTCTTTACGGAAAAATGTTTTGTCGCAACCAGAATGGGGACAAGTCAAAGGCGCAGCTCCCTCATGCATGAATTTTATGTGAGTTGTTAGACGAAGCTTTCGATTAAAAGCTCGGCCACAGTGTTTGCAAGTATATGCATTCTCACCAGTGTGATGAAAAATATGGGCCCGAAGTTGCGATGCTTGAATAAATGACTAAAACCAAAAACCAAATTATATTTTTTTATTTAAGATTAATTTATTTATTGGATTTAAATTAGCGCAGTGGCGATTTTGGTAAGTATTTAGCAATCAATTATTGAATAAAATTACCTTCCCGCAAAAATTGCACTGATGAGGTTTCTCTCCTGTATGTGTGCGCCAATGGCGATTTAGTGTCTCCTTTGCTGCGAAACGTTTATCACACTGAAAAGAAATATGCTTAACACTGAACAAAATCAATAAAATATAAAACACCTTTGAACAAATATAAGGTTTTTCGCCTGTATGCATTCTGCGATGTTTTTTCATTGCACCGCTGGAAGGAAATTTCTTTGAGCATATATCACATGGATACGGTTTTTCTCCTAAAAAAATACATTATTCTGCTTTAGTTTAATGTTATTTTATATCTCCTCAATGATGATTCAGTGTTCAGTTCAGTATTACAGGTTTATTCTGTCATCACAATTAAAAACTCAGTAACCAAAGAAGACAAAGTTGAGAAAAACAACTTCAAAGTTTTGTGGCGAAACCAATATATTTTTCTAATCCTTATTGCAAAATATAGAGCCTTATGGCCTTATTCAGTAATTCAATGATACTTTGGCATTTGCTACCTACATAGCAACTCAACACATTAGAATTTTGATTAAAAAACGATTGAAGCTAGGTTTTCAATTAAATTATTAAAATTTGATACATAGGTCAAGTAGATAAAATTCTGAAAAACAGAAAATATCATTTTGTTAAATATGAAACATCAAATCTCTTTTATTTATTTATCTAAGGTGGTAGCTAATTTTCTATGTGGCAGGTTAGAGACTCTTTTTCAACTTTTACTTTTGAAAATACCTACACGTTCCTACCATAACATACATATTTTCCACATATCACAACGACCTCTTTTCATTCATTCATCTTTTTCTTTGTTTCCCATTATTTAATTTGTAAACAGTAGTTTCTAAAAGTTACTTAATTCAGGCATAACATTGATTTGAAAGATTAGTTGGCCACAAAACGAAATTCTTTATGTTATTGACAGTTTTAATTGAATTTCAAAGTTTTATTTTTCGGTTTTGCAACAATTTTAAAGGCAGAGATTTTTGAGATCAAGTGAGATAGCAAAACCAACCAGAATTTTTTAACGCCATTATGTTTTAGCAAGAATGGATTTGATGAGGAGACAACAAAAATGACAGTTGCGCTAACCAGTATGAGTCCTAACATGGATGTTTAATAAGGCATGTCCTGTGAATTCTTTGTCACAGTATTCACAACAAAACATTTTTTTGGGTCTTAGAATACCAATGTGGGTCCGTAGATGGTCAGCAAGGTTATCTTTACGTGTAAATGATTTGCCACAAACCTAAAATTAACAAACACATATATGTATATTATTATTTGTACATTGTTATATCTTACCCTACAGTCATAAACTGATTTTGGAACACCAGTGCAACCTGTCTGACCAATATGTCTATCGAGGTGGTATTTTCTAGTGAACTCTCTACCGCAACCATTGCATTTAACAGATTTAATTGGATGTACACGAATATGATCAACTAACGATTCGCGAGCTGGAACGAAATAGTACATTGTGGACTTAAAATTGCTGCAAATAATTATTAGGTGAATCAAAAGATTATTAAGTGTTAAACTCACTGTAATTTATGTGTTTGTACGCGATTCTCTTTTGAGGCCTTATTTCACACAATACTGTTTTTATACCCAGGGGTTTAGGTTCAACAGTAGTATGAAAATGAAACTTTTAATTAAGAGGTAATCAAAATTATAGCAAGCAGAATTATCGCTCAGTTGTCCACACTTATGCTTTTTATATCAATAGCAATAGAACACCTTAAGTTTCAAGTATAGTAGAAAAAGACAATGTTTATTCACAAACAAACTTCTGTGTATTCATAATTCATAGAACCAGATCCACTTACTATTAAAGGTTTTTTTGCATTCAACACATACGTAGATATCATCCTTCGGGTGATCAATACTGATATGTCTGTCCAATGAATTTTGCTGAACAAAAAGTTTATCACACTGCTCACATTTAAAATCGCCCATCTTAAAAGAGACAATTACTAACAAAAGTTTAGTTCGAAGTTGGATTAAAAATGTGTGTACCGTATGAGCTGTATCAGTAGGCTCTCCACAGCATGAACAAAGCTTAAATGTCAGGACATCAGTGTTCTCTTTAGATTCATTGTCCACAAATTTTAAATGCACCAAGCTAAGGTGCCGTTTTACATTCTAAAACGATAATATTCACCCTTCCATATTGGCTGATGAAAATCAAAACAATTTGCAGCTTGTCAAAAACTTACTGTTGGCGACTTGAAGCTTCTTCCACAAATACTGCACTCAAAACAGTTTTTCCCATCATTGTCCTCAATTTCACTTTTATTTTTCAAATTTTCTAATAATGCAGCATCATCTCCTTTCTCGTCAGGATCTTCATTATCATTAAGTTCAACTTTAATGGATTGTTTGGCAAGCTCTACATGATTTTTTTCTTGTTTTACAACCTAGAATTATAGAAAAAAAAGAACAGAATGCAGAATTAAATATAAAACAAGCAATTTTTATTTTATTTATTTATATTTTTTGTATTCATTTTTCCTTACCAATAACTTGATTATTTAATTAATTATAAAAATTTTTAAATGGGTGATTGACATAGAAAAAGCTGTTGCTTACTGATATATGACCAAGACCGCTCCTTTCCTCAATTCCTTCTTGTCCCAAAGATGTATTTAACTCTTGGTGTCCATCTTCATTTTCATTAACAGTAACTGTTTCTTCATTTTCAATCATTTCTTCAGGATCATTAATTATTTCCTCGGATATTGTGGAACTCTCTCCAGAATATTCCCTTTCCCTAAATTCTTCATCTGGAATAGAAACTTGCTTGTATTTTAGACACAAAATTGTATTAATAGTAATAACTTTATTTGTTAAGTCAACTTGGATGAAACATCAGCTACATTTAATGAAAACCCGAAACATTCAGAAGAATTATAAGTTTCACAGCATGTGGAAGTTTATTTCTTGGAAAAACTATTAACTACCAATATCTAGATTTGCACACATCAAACATAAATTAAATCAAGATGGTCTCAATTGGTATCATAAAATCCAAGAAGAGTTGCTCAGACTATTAGTGAAAATTACCATAAGCAGATTCTTCAATAGTTTCTTCCACATACAAGGTCTCATACTGACTATCTTGTGGATCCTCATAATCACCATGGTATTCTTCAATAATGTAATGTTCTCCCTCTGCTAAATGATACTCAATATCATTAACATATTCATTCCTAAAACGCAAAGAGTATATTGGCATTTGCATTACAGTTGATAGATAAATTGAAACTTTGTCAGTAGTACTTTTCTCGGATTCCTTATACTTACTCTATAACATAAGTGTAAGTTGTACCATCCTCAGCTTCAGTTATCTGTAAATTGCCATTAGAATTTTGTCCATATGCATTTAGTATCAAAGGATAATGTTGTCCTGCTACTCTTATGTGACTAATATCTTCTAACATGGGAGTTGAAATTTCTTCTTCCTGTTGGGTGTCGTGATCATTTCTTTCTTCAACTTTAACAGCTTCCTCACAGTCTTCTTGCTTTACCACTGTTATATCCATTGTTCTTAAAAATTAAACATTTTTACTTAGATTAACCTCAAGGTCCCACGATTTCATTTTTCTGTTTAGGAAAATTTTGGAAAAGTATACAATAAAATAATAAATTGTTGGCATTTTATTTCCAATAATTAGGGTTATGTTTATTGTTTTACATTGTGGCCCCTAAAAAGGTTGATGATTCTCTTTGCATCGCCGTAATATTTACTCAAACAATCTTTTTATATTCTTACATAAAATGTGGGTAAAATAACTTCACTGTGTTAACATTGACCTTATTATACAATACTAAAAAATATATAAATGTAGCAAAATATTAAATATACCTGAAATACGTCAAAAAAACAATTTTCGCCCCTAAAGTTCGACAACCCTATTATCACACCATTTAAACAAAAAACATTCAATCGAACGCAGCGAGTAGAACCATTACCCTTTCTATTGCATAGAACATGAATGAGAACTACGGTTGGTTACCAGCTAGTGTAATTTTATTTTGTGTTAAATAATGGTAGGAACTGTGGAAGAAGCCATTGGATAAATACAATAAAATTATACAAATAAAAGAGGAATTTAGTTGAAGCAGTCAACGCGTTTTTTACTTTGACCTTGTTTTTTAAGTACCATAGACTAAATATATTTATTATCAATAGATGAGATTAAACGCCAACCGGCTTATTCACTCCGAAGGTTCGTATGCGACTAACCTAAAATTAACCAACTAAGATTAAGTTTATTTAAGGAACTAACAGGATAGGTACATAATTTGTTTCGACCTGAATAATAAATCGTCCCAATCATTTAAGCACCCTCGACGGAGGTCGGCAATGGACGAATGGCCTTTGATAAGTATTACGTCTAACGTACAAGAAGCTTCTCAGTACCATTTTTCCATGGTTATGTATACTTCATGTCTTATTGTGAATACTTTTGGTTTGTGTTTATTTTTTCGGCAACTGAGATATATTCTATCTACACTTTGTTGACTATTTCCGACGTACATAAATCTCTATTTTACTGAAGTAATACGAAACAAGAAGACACATTTATATAAAACTTTGACAATTAAGAAATGTCAGTTTAGTTAAATATTTAAAAGTAGGTCTTGGTCTCCAGCCTGTATTTTGCTTATTTAAATTTGTTGGTTTTAGATGAGCAGCAGTCATCAGTACCTAAAGGGTTCAAATTCAAAGACGGTACCCCTACGATTGGGTGACATAGAACATTTAGCTCAGTTTTCAGAAAATCTATCTTCTTTGTGCTTAAGTCATGAATATTCAGATGTAACTTTAGTTGTGGAAGGCCAAAAGCTACATGCTCATAAGGTAGACATGCAATTGGAATGGGGTGACAATTTTTTGTTATGAAATTTTATTGTAGGTTATATTAGCTGCTCGTAGTGATTATTTTCGGGCACTGTTATATGGTGGATTGAAGGAATCTAATCAGGTAATTAAATATGTATATAAAAATTTGTGCACCACCACCACTCGCTATCCAAACTGTATATTGTTCAATAACTCAATTAACTTCCAGTTCATTCTTCTATCTTTTACATTATATTGTATAAAAATCTTCCTCAATCCAGATAGGTACAATTTGATAATCCTAAATGAGTTTGTAGTCTGTGTAACCAGAAAATTACTTTGTACACCAACAGCATTTTCACAAGGGTAGCAAATTTTGAATGAGCCTAATCATTATGCTAATTCCCAAACCTTATTTTGTATTGAAATGAGTGTTTGCAATTGAATTTTCAGCTACGGTTTATTTGTGATTTCGGAGGTTATGATAAAAATCAATTGATGTTAAGTGCTTCAGGGCAAATTTGAAACTGTTTGGGTGCCATAATGACAACAAAAAGCAATAGCAGCATAAGCAGTTTTAACAATAAAAACAGTGTGAATAATAATAATAGGTTATCTGATAAAGTAAAAACATAAAATTAGAGGAATATATTTTTGGGATTGCCAAGGGATTGAACATACAAAGTTTTTAAATAAAGGGTGTAAAAATTTTTTTGTAGAAAAACAACATAATTTATCAAGAGAAATTGGTTCGGGCGACAGCTCTTCTTACAGGTCCCGTTAAGTAAATCACAATCGATAGCGAACATTATATTACCGACAAAGGGAGAAGAAGAAAGCAATTTGAGCAAAATAAAAAAATGTTTAAAACACTGACAAAATTGAAACAGGAATCTGAATATAAATTGGATCTAATTGTGGAGATGAAAGAAATGAACATGAACCAAAAAGATATGAAAAACGTCAATCTTTTGTAAAGAAGCATTTGAAAATAGAAATGAACTGGTGGGCAGTAATAAAAAATGGAAAAAAGGATATGCATCATAAGTCTAAATATTGAAAAAGAAATAAATAACATTATGATAAATACATACATATTAGAAAATAGAACAGGAGACCTCCGTTTCTTCAATATGGATATAACTCTGAAAAAAAAAAAAAACAAAAACACTTGCAAAGGCACAAGGAGAAAAAGGCAAGGAGGTGAGAGTAGGGTACAGCAAGACAATTGTAAATGGTGTAGAATGGCGGTGGAATAAAATAACAGAGAAATACAAACTCCAAAAAACGAATGCATTTGAGTCAGTACAGAAGAATTGCAAAGGAGACGGGCAAAGAAAAGGAAATGACTTTGGAATTGTCATAAAAAGCAAAAGCAGGAAAAAGTGTAAAAAAAGGGAAAAATGCTTTTAATATAAATATTCAGTAAAAAAAATACATTTACCTGGGTAATTGGAACATTCAGGGAACATATCCAACAGGTAGCCTGAAAGAACTGGTAAGAGAAATAAGAAAATATAAAATAGGCATAGAGGCAATCCAAGAAATTAAGAACATATTTGGGACTGGCCGAGGAGTAAATCACTCGTGAAATCTGTTGTACCAGCTCTGTGAAATCCTAATGATTTGTTATGATTTTTGAGCAGTCTCCATTAAATAAAGCTTCTTTAAATAATGAATAAATTAAATTTTCTAAAATGTCAATATGTGATTAATTGACTATTTTCAAGTTATTTGTAGATTGCGTCTAAAGTGTGACTCTTGGTTGAACCCCCACCAATTTTAAAGAATATTGGAAATTAACAAATTCTTTTTCAAGTTATAAGAGATAAGGCACAAGATAAGAAAGATAGGTGGAAGAATATATCCCATGTTTTTTTAAATAATTATTGTAATTCCTGCATCCATTGTTGGGCCAGTCCTGGAAACGTGGAAATAGTTTTATATTAATTCAATTAAATACTGACAATATTTTTTTTAAGCTTTAAGCGTATTTGTTATTATTTTTTACTTTAGAAGTTTTTTATTTATAACAGGGTGAATCGGTAAAATCCGTAAATTTATTTGGAAATCTGTGAAATCGAAAATCCAGAAATCTTTGTGAAATCTTATGGTTATAGAAAATCTGCTGTTCCACTTTTGGGTGGTGAGTTCTCTCTAGAACTTATACAAAAAAATAAATAAATAAAAAGAAAACATTAAAATTGCCTATTGCCTATTGCCAAAGCATGATATACAAATGATATTAGGGGATTGCAACGACAAAGTTGGAAAAGAGGACATATTAGTAATTGGGAAACATAGTCAAGAGGACATTTTAAACGACAATGGACAAGAAATAGAAAATAACATGTTTAAAAGTACCTGGTGGTAGAGTAATCAATGAAATAGGCCATGTTCTAATAGATAAGAAACAGGAATTTCATTATTGAAATAAGAAGTATGAGAGAAGCTGAAATTGGTTCCGACCACTAATTAGTAAAAATGGAATGTAAAGATGTTATTACAATGGCCCAAGGTGTGATATTTCAGTACAAAAAGAAAAAAACATACAGTGACCGGTGTAAAGAGCAAATAAACATTAATGTAAAGGAATAACAACCCAACAGGAAGATAGAAGAAAGTTAGAAGGAGATGGAAGTGATCACAGTAGTGAATAAAAAGGTTCTTGCTGTTGACGTAACTCTTGCTACCTAATCAAAGCTAGGAAAATAAAACAAAATGTAGAAGACAGAATGCAAGTAAGGTTAGAATGATAGAAGAGGCATTTCAAAACAAAGAAATCAGATCATTCTACCAAGAAGTAACGAAAATAGGAAAAGGTTATCATGGTGGAAACAGTTATATCAAAAGCGAAAAAGAATTATTAGTAGTGAATAAACTGAAATCCTGGCTAGATGGAGCAAATAGTTTCAGAGTTTGAATGTGGCTGAAGATCATACACAGGTAATCACCAATGAACAAGGCAGGAGGAAATGATGTAATTGCAAGGCTGGCAAAGAAAGAATTAAAAAGCAGAATAAACCAAATGAAAAATTTGAAGAGTCCGCGAGAGAATAATGTAACTGTACACATGTTAAAAGCAAGAGTAGTACAGCTACAAGAAGAAATTTGCGAAGAGATAAGAATGTATGGGAAAAGGAGCAAATGCCGAAAGAATGGTCTGATTCAGTAATTTGCCTAATACATAATAAAAACCTTCATAGGACAGTATGATAATTATAGAGGTATATAAAACTCCTAGACCCATGCTATAGACTATTTTTGCAGGCAGTACGAAAAATATTAAATACATTCGCAGAAAATATCTTAGAAGAGTATCAGGCGTCTCTGACCAAATTTTTAGTTTAAAAGAAATTTAAATGAAGTGTTGGGAATATAAAATGGAATTATATACGCTTTTCATAAATTTTAAGCAAGCCTATGACAGAAATGATCACCTGAAAATGTTCTTAGCACATAAATACCTAGAAATAGCGATAAAGATGATACAACTTGTAAAAATACCATTGGAAATAACAAAAAGCAAAGTGGCGTCTATCCATAATATTTTTTAGTTTAATATTGGAGGAAATAATAAGAAGCAGTACAATATTAACAGAAATTATATTTAATAATATTTACCTATGTGTGACGTTCGCAGATGATTTAATTCTGATGACAAGAAAAAGAAAAGCGTTACAGAGAGTAACAAATAGGTTGGAAACGGAAGCTACCAAGTTTTTAATAATAATTAATGAAAATAAAACTAAGTTTATGGTAATGGGGCAAACACAGGAAGCAGCAGAACCAACAAAGGTACCAGGTAACCGCAAACAATACGGCTTTGAAAGGGTAAAGCATTTTGTTTCTTTATAAATAACTTTAGAAGAATAAGCCTGCCAAAAGTGAGAATATTGAAGGTTAGTAGGAAATATGGAATACTGAGGTCGCTAATGAGATCAAAAACTCAGGAAATACGAAATACTAAAGTGAGATTATATGCTACATGAATGAATGTATGTATGATGGGAAAGGAAAATTCTGATGGCCATGTATCATGGAGTCAGCACAGAAGAAGAGTGGCGAAGGAAAATTAAGAAGTAACTGAAAGTTATGGTGAATCGGATATTAGAAGTTTTGTGTGACCGCAATAGATGGTAGGTGGAATGTAGAATACGCGGGACACGTGGAACTTTTGGAGTAAGAAAAGAATTCTGAAGATAGTACTATGCAGAAATCCTATCTGGAGAAAACTATAAGGTGGACCAAGACAGAGGTGGAAAAACAAGATTTTGGAAGACTGAAATACTGGAAAGTGAAATCAAAAAAATAAAAGGGAGTGGAGAATAGTTGAAAGGGTATTATAAAGAAGAGAATTAAACAACAGATTTCAGCCCTACATCTGCAAGGCCTTTTAAATAAATATGTAAACTAATTCCCAATCACTTTCTATGCAGGCGGGTTTTCAGACCTTGTTTTATTTTTGTTCTATGAATTTTACCCATTAAATTAATCTTTGCTTCTTCACTTTCATTCTAATAATAGCTCTAAATCTATTTAAGTGTATAATAATGTAATTTGTGAATGGTTCGAATGGATGGGTAAGTTATCAGCATCAAGCAAGGTTTAAAAAAAGGCGTCCCCAAAATTCAGAGAGCTGGATTGTGTTATGTTTGGCTCTCACACAACAAGTTGTGACTTCAAGAAGTTTTTGGTTAGTTTGAATTCTATTTGTTTACAGTTTTTTGTTTTTGTAATTTAATATGAGCATCTCTTGTTTGATGTTTTCTGCTTGTTAATTGATTAATTAATTAATTGACCTCAGTTTAAGTGGTGTACTTTGTAAATGAAATATAACCTGAGTCCATAACCATGGAACCAGATAAATAGGCAAATATTTTTTTCTACTCCCGTCTGTAAAATACCTAATTACGCACCGATCTAGACTGCGGGAAGCGTCGGTTTACCACGTCAGTTTCGTTTCCCACGAATCCGAGCTACTTCGGACATTTCCGGGATTTTACCGCACGGATTTGGAAGCAGTCGGATGTTTTCGGGGATATTTCCCACACTTTGAATTTTGAGGTTTGTCAATTCTGACAGTCATGCCAGTGAATGTATTAGTGTTGTTTTGCAAAAATGTACCCAAAAACTAATGGTCGTAGAAAAAGTATAGTATGCAACCCGTTCGGTAAACTTTTTAACTCACTCGTTTATTAAAAACTCGCTCCGCTCGTGTCAAATAAACTCGTGTTCAAAAGAAACAAAATTCAAAACTATGCGCTAAAATTAAAAAAACAAGACGTTTCCTGAAACAACATAAAGAACTCAAAATTTTGATACCAGATAAAACAAATAAAACAGTTATTATGACGGACGCTTATGACAAAAAAATGCTAGATTTACTAAAAGACAATACCACCTACAGAGAAATGAAAAACAACCCAACAGCTATTTTTCAGAGAAAGAACAACGACTTAGTGTCCTCCTGGGAAAAAAAGTTATACATTTCCCATAGCACAGCGCAAAGCTTAAAAATTGTTAATTCTCAGCCACCCAGAATTTATGGATTACCCAAGCTTCATAAGGAATCCATCCCTCTAAGACCAATAGTATCATGTATCCAATCACCATTTGAAAAACTCAAAATTTTTAAAGAACATCTTACAAAACGTTATACATAAAAATAGATACTATATTAAAGACTCTCAACGATTACATCCTAGTTTCATTAGATGTTGTTTCGCTATACACCAACATTCCAATAAATATTGCTAGGCAAGTAATCATCAAAAAATGGGATAACATTAAAACCTTTACCGATATTCCGCTCGATGACTTCTTAGAAGCAGTCGAAATAACTTTAAAATCAACCTATTTTGCATACAACAAAGTTTTTTATCAACAAATCGACGGATGCGCCATGGGAATTTCAATTTCTAGCGCCATCGCACAAATTGTACTGGAAGATTTGGAGGAGTCGGTCCTTAGCAATGCCCTTTTTGACATACCTTTTTTCTACAGATACGTAGACGATTGCATCACGGCAATACCAAAAAACAAACAACACGAGATTCTTCAACCCTTCAACAGCTACCATCAGAAATTACAATTTACAATAGAAATAGAGTCCCAAAGTAAAATCCACTTTTTAGATCTAACCCTTCATAATTAAAAAAAAAGGAATTAAAACCGAGTGGTACACTAAAGAGACCTGGTCTTCCAGATACGTTAATTTTAACTCCCAGCACCCTATATCGCAAAAAAAATCTGTAATTATTGGCTTGGCTGACCGTGCAATTAAACTCTTTGATCCGGATTTCAGAGAAAAATCGATTACTAAAGCAAAACAAGCATTAAAACTAAAGAAATATCCGAAAGGATTAATTAACACCATTTTCAAAAAACGTATACACCTATTCTATAACCAAACTAAACAAAAAAGCGACACCCAACAAAAACAAAAAAATAATTATCTTTCGCTTCCTTATATACCCAGTATGTCCGAAAATTTTAGCAAAATTTTTATGAATCACAACATTACTATTGCTCACAAAGGATACGATTTGGTCACAAATACGACAAAACAACAGACACCAACAATCTCAGTAAGTTATATTGCAACATTCTGAAATAGAACAACAATGAAAGATACAACATAAAAATATATTAATATAAAATTATAATATATAAAAATAATTTAAAATAAATAAAAGAAAAAAATCACAAATTAACAAAAACACTCTGTATATCCTCTGAACCCTGCACCAAAACAATCGTACATCGTACGATGTTTTTACAGTAACGTCAACGCGAGCAAACCTCGCGTATCGGTATTATTTTTTCTAAATCCTTATATATATATATATATATATATATATATATATATATATATATATATATATATATATATATATATATATATATATATATATATATATATATATATATATATATATATATATATATATATATATATATATATATATATATATATATATATATATATATATATATATATATATATATATATATATATATATATATATATATATATATATATATATATATATATATATATATATTTTACCTGTTTCGTTAACTTTGTGTGTATTATGTGTGTGTGCCGTATACAAATCATTTTTTGTTGGACTTTTATCTTTTATCAAGGGTATGACTTTCTTATTCTCATAGTTGGAAAAAACCAAAACATTAATAATATTTCTAGGCACTATGACAAATCCAAACGCTTTTAAAGTATAGAACTTCAATTTTAAGATTTGTGTTTGTCTCTTTTTGGTAAGGTTCTTTGTAATTCCGTTTATGTATATATATAAAAAAAGACCTGTACTATAACATAATTTTAGACTGTATCCCTTTCTGAAGAAGGTCATAGAAGACCGAAACGTCAATATATGGACAAACATTTTAATATATATATATATATATATATATATATATATATATATATATATATATATATATATATATATATATATATATATATATATATATATATATATATATATATATTATTAATTAATGTATTTGCCACTGCCTGTATTTGTGATGGGTGGTGATGAGATTTAGCGTTCAGATATCTATTAGTGTGTGTTGGTTTTCTATAGACAGTGTGTTCCAAATGTCCATCTTCGGTCCTTGTGATGTGCACATCTAAACAGGGCAGACTGTTATCCTCTTCAAGTTCTATTGTAAATTGAATCCTTGGGTGAATGGAATTCAGATGATCTAGGAATTTCAAAAGCTCCTCCTTGCCAAAAGGCCATACAACAAATACGTCATCAACGTATCTTGTCCATAGTTTTGGCTTCAGATTTGCCTTCTCTATTGCTTTCTTTTCGAAGTAAATCATGAAGAGGTTGGCAATCACAGGTGAGAGAGATGACCCCATTGCTGCTCCATCAATTTGTCGGTAAATTTTCCTGTTGTACATAAAGTAAGCGTTTTTCAGGCAATGTCTTGACAGATCTATTATGTACGGCGGAAGATCTTCGTTTTCTTCTAAAAGCAAGAGTGCCTCTTCTACTGGAATGCTCGGGTAGAGGGATTTGACATCGAAACTTGCCATAATGTCGTCCTTGTCCATCCTGAGAGAGCCTAAAATCTGAGTGAAATGTTCTGAGTTTTTAACATAGGAATCTGCCTTTTCCACTATGGGCTGAAGTGCACTGGCCAGATGTTTTTCCAGCTTGCATAATGGTGAGTTAAAGGCGCTTACGATTGGACGCAGGGGAACCCCGTCCTTATGGATCTTTGGGAGCCTGTAGAATTTTGGGCAAACGACTCGATTTTTCCCTTGGAAGAAGTTTCTTCTTTGTATCCTCGTATGCTGCTGGCATTATTAGAATATCTTCGTTTTTGTTTAGATTCCTTAAGGCTTGCATTTCTTCTCTGCTTAAGTTTGGTTGCGGTGGTTCTGACTGTCTTAAGACTCTGGCGACATCTTGCCTAATTAACTCCGCATCTTGTTCGTCTATGGTGGAAAGACATGCTTCGACGTTGGAAACGATCTCTTCGACGGGTACTCTTTTTGGAGCTATTGCATAGTTAAATCCTTTATTCAGTACGCTGACTTCTGTATCGGAAAGATGGTATGCTGAAATATTATGAACTGTACTGCTTCGGTTTGTATTTGGAACTTGTCCTGATTTTTTGGAATTTGACTGAAGGATTTCTAATTTCTTCCACAGTTTTTTTGACGTGATGTCCTTGTCTTTTCTAGTGCACCATGATGTTAATAATTCTATGCGGTCCCACAGCAACTGATGGATCTTGTTGCTCAGTTTCAGGTGGAGTCTAAAAAGTTGTAGCTCAGTCTCACTAATTTCGTATCGGGTCCGCCTGATCTGCTCTTGGAGTAGGGCTTTGCTAGCTTTGTCCAGGATAGCTTGTGTCTTTCTGGTGCGTGTATGATAAGACAACCTTGTAAATGTTGGCAGCAAGTTGTTGTTGCGGCAATTTATAAGAAAATTCAAGTTGCACACACACACACTCCTTTGTCTTAGTTTTTCATAACACTTGGTGGCCGTAAAGGTCTCCTCCCCGTAAAGGTGTATGATATTTTCACTTATTGATTCATGAATGGAAAAATGTGATGACACTATATTCCGGGATATCATCCGTTCGCTTGTTGAACTCCGACTGGAATCCTGCAGACGTTTCGCCAAAATCTCACTTGGCATCTTCAATGCTCGCGCTCCGAAAACACTTCGAACACTGGGAGGTTATCGGCGGTGCGTGCGGTATTTATACCCTGCGCCGGAGATGGTAACGGTGCTGCTTGTGTGGGAGGGGAGGTGGCTCCGCCCCCCGAATTGTCGCGTTATTAATTTCGCCCGATCGTAGTTGCGATGTCCCCGTTGGCTGCTGCGTATCGCTCTGTTGTTTGATTATCGTTCTCCACGTATTGGATAAATGCAGAGCGTCGTCTCTCGTATTCAGGTATGCGGACTTTTCTATCTCGATGGCCTCTCGTATAATCCTAGTCTTAAAATCAGGAATATTAGCTATTTGTTTGCAAGTACCGAAATCAATTTTATGGCCTGTCTGATGTTGGTGCTGAAACAAAGCAGATGTTGTTTGTTTGTTTCTTATGGCTAAACGATGTTCCTCGAGCCTGATGATCATACCATCGAAGCAATACTAAGAAACCCAAAACAAAAAATTACTCTGGGAAACCAAGGAGTATACAGTGTAGCATGCGGATCGTGCAGCCTGACGTATGTGGGACAGACCAACAGAAGGATTTCAGCCAGGCTCGAGGAACATCGTTTAGCCATATATATATATATATATATATATATATATATATATATATATATATATATATATATATATATATATATATATATATATATATAATAGCCAATCATAAAAAGAATTTACACGTGTACTAGTTAGTATTGAAATTGGCTTTTCCGCTATTGGGTCTTTGTTATCTTAATAATTCTTTCTGTTGCAGGCTGAAATTGTACTACCAGATGCTCCTTTAAAAGCATTTAAAATATTGCTGAAGTACATTTATACAGGTAAGTTAATTAACCTTTTGAATTGAACTTGTCTTCCACAACAACTGTTAGTTGCAGCAGGAGACTTTTCGGGGCATATTGATTTCTTTTTCATAAAAGTTACACCATTCATTTGCAAAATTTGAAATTTAATTGCAAAAAAGAGCAACATACATACGGATTTTGTGAATTTACATTACATTACGTTTCGTCCCGTCTCTTGTAATAGTTTATTTTTGGTTCATATGGTAATATTCTACTAACTATTATTTTTAGTAGTTATGGATTATTTGCTGGTAATGTAATAGAAATGCAGATATTAATACGAAATAAATTTTAATTTTAGGTCACATGTTTCTAATGACATTAAAGGAAGACGTGATCCTAGATATTTTGGGATTGGCCCATCAATATGGCTTTCAAGATCTCGAATCGGCAATTTCGGATGTGTTAAAACAGTTGTTAGCCCTTGGAAATGTTTGCGCCATTCTGGATACTGCGCACCTGTATGGCTTGGAAAAGTTAGTTAGAGTGTGTCATACATTCTTGGATAAATATGCTTCAGAAATATTACAACATGATTCATTTCTTCAACTTTCACAGGTAGGGTATTTTCATATTTTTTACATCTAGAACAAAAACCGGTTTATTAAAATAAGTACCAAAAAGGACCTGTGAATAAAAAAAAATAATTGGTAATAAATACCAAAGGCTACTCACATAAAAAAATTCAGCAACTTTTATTAATTTACGTTTAACAAAATTGAAATATTTTAAGCTTAACTTTAACCATGATTTGAATAAGTTTTGTTGAATTGACCTTGAATTTCAAAAGTTACATTCAGTAAAAAAAAATTGTTCGTCAGTTGCATTTTAATTATGCATCTTTTAATTTCTAGGCAGCTCTAGTAGAGGTTCTACAACGAGATTCTTTTTTAGCTCCGGAAGTTGAAATTTTTCACGGCGTTTGTAACTGGTGTAAGAATAACGAGGTATGATAGTGATAATAATTAGTATTATGTGGTCAGCTATCCATTTATGTATTACTTTTGAATAATTTAGTTATTTATTTACTCTATAAATTGTAAGGTATAATTGATTTACAGAAGGTATTAATTGCGTTAAGGGATAATGATAAAATATGATCGCGAAATAAGACATATTCACATTCCGCACCGATTTTAACAATTGTAGGACACAGAAGATCTTGTCATGAAATGCGTGCGCTTGCCATTGATGAGTGTGTCAGATCTGTTATCGTCAGTACGCCCGGCTGGATTAGTAAAACCCGATGCTTTACTTGATGCGATCGCCGAGCGAACAAATAATCGAATGAACACTTTGCCTCACAGGGGTCAACTAGGTCCTTTTGAAATGCTAGGCATAAATTATTTTTTTTATGTTTTTCATTTGCAGTGATAGATGAAAATGTGGCATGTCCAAGAAATGGGTCCAAAGTTGTGGCAGGGGAGTTAATTGAATATTTACTAGATGGAGATTATTACTCATATGATATGGACAAAGGCTATACACGCCATGCTATTAGTGGATCTTCCGATGAGGGCATTATAATAAAGCTTGGAGTGCCTTCGATTATTAATCACGTTCGAATGTTGTTATGGGACAGAGATATAAGGTCAATTGACTCAGTTTTGCATTATTTCTATATCAAAGTGGCAACCAGCGCAGTAGATAGATTAAATAGTTTACTCAGTTGTTCCAATTTCAGGATTATGTAATAATTATTTTCAGGTCTTACTCATACTATATTGAAGTTTCGATGGAACAAAAAGATTGGATGCGAGTTATAGACTACAGTCACTACTGCTGTCGTTCTTGGCAATATTTATATTTTGAAGCTAGAGTGGTTCAATTTATTAGGATAGTTGGAACCCACAATACTGTAAATAAGGTATACTCTTTTATTATACATTGTACTATTTACTATAGACATTATAATGTTCAAGGTTTTCCATTTAGTAACTTTAGAAGCGACTTACAAGCAAAAGATTCCTAAAATGGTTAACGATATTATATGCCCCGCATACAATGTAGCAACGTTAGAAAAAAGTGCTGTGGTAATAGAAGGCGTTAGGTTTGTATGTTTATTTAATTAAGAATGCTATTTTAAATGAAACCCCATTTCTACAAAAATATATTAGGTGTTTGATACAAAATTCCTTTTATATTTTTTCTATATCCTTAATCATGGTTCCTGCTGCTTGGGCCATCAGAGACAAAGCTGAAGGATCTGTGTATTTTCGTTTCTAACTATCAAATTGATTTCGAAGTTTTTTAGTCGTGCTAGAAATGCTCTTCTAAATGGTGAGACCAAACAATATGATTGGGACTCAGGCTATACCTGTCATCAGTTAGGATCTGGTGCAATACTTATTCAGCTAGGTAAGTTACAACCTTTTAGCTAAAGTATTATATTTTCTGTTTATTCAATGAAAGCTGAAACTTTCAATGATAACCAAAGATTTTCAACTATAATAAAGAACTAGATGTAGTTTTTAATTAAAATTATAATGATGTCATAAAGTAGTTACTTTTCTTACAATATGAAAAAAACTCGCTGCATACAATGTTTAGGACAACCTTACATAATATCAAGTCTGAGACTGCTTCTTTGGGACTGCGATGACCGTAGCTATAGTTATTATATTGAGTCATCTGTGGACATTTGGGATTGGGAAATGGTAGTAGACAATACTAGAGAAGGTTGCAAATCATGGCAAGTCATTAGATTCCCTCCGAGACCTGTTGTATTCATCAGAATTGTTGGAACACATAATACAGCTAATGAGGTAAACATGGTACATTATTTTAATTTTATATAAGATTCCCTGCTTGTGCCATTAGTTATATTAGGTAGGAAGGCCCTTATGTTACATACCTACTTTTTCCTTCTTTTTTTTGTGAAACTCATAGTCACATCCTGTTAAATGTAATATACCTGGTGTAGAAAATTGTGCAGACTTAATTTATTTAATTAATTAATTGCTAAGTACTTGTATTTTTGATGCTGATTGAGATGGCAAATGAAGAAAAACTATTGACTATCTCATTTCCAAATAAATCATAACATCATATTTTCTAAAAAATATTTGCAAATCTTGTATAGAACATAAAGTATAAAATAACCGAATTATTGGTATAAGTAACGAATTTTCCTTTTTTTTTACAAACAAAAACTCATAATTTTTCAAAGAAACTTCCACAGGCTACTGTAATACTTTTTACAAAACTTCTGGATTCCTACTGCGTCAGTTTTTGTCGAGTCAAACTAGCTAATGTTTTAGTCAAGCTCTGAAGAAGCCAACAGGATGATTGGCGAAACGTTAGCTAGTTCGACTCAACAAAAACGGACGCAGCAGGAATCCAGAAGTTTTATAAAAAGTAAAAAATCTCATATCTTGCAAAAATTATGGAGAAAATTGTATATATATGTAATTTATTAACAACTATTTTTTTACTACCCTGTATTCTTAAACTTACTATGTTTAGCTTATATTTATGAGTTACAGCTTTACCCCTTGTTAAGGCACCCTGTATAAGAAAAATAACTGGATACTGAGAATTACCTTAAAATTGATTCCAATGTCTATTTTGAAAATTTAGGTATTCCACTGTGTACATTTTGAATGTCCATCATCATCAGAGGATAATACAACTGCAAGTCAAGTCTGCTCAGTTCAGGTATCAGTTGGCAATAGAAGTAAAATTACAACCAGTACAAATGATGGACAAAACTCACAGTTTGCAGAGACAGCAACAGAAGCTGAGGAAATTTTAGTACCTGCAGCAAATGTTAATAAAATTTAGGAACAATTTTAACCCAGAAAAATATAAAAAGAAATAGTTTTTTAACCATATTGCATGATTTTAATTATAATGAAGTTAAAATATCAACTTGCAACTTTTGGTTGAAAATTTGGTTTTTTATTTATACTTTAGGATTATTTAATTCCTTTTTTATTTTAGCTAAAAATTTGTGTATCAGGCAATAATTTTGTTGTAAGAAATATAAATGTTGAATTAAATGTTGCATGTATTTTTTATTAATTATGAAAAATTTTTTTTACCTAAATTAAAAAAATGTCTACCAAACGATGGGTTTCAGTGGTGCGAATCGTTTTATGTGAAGGAGAGATTATTTGGAGCATTTTTAAACTCTGTAAGCGCTTTCGGATACGTACGGTGGAGCCGAACGTATTTCCGAACTTCAAGGCAAGAGATCGGTAAGACGTCCTCTTTAATGCATCCTTTGCATTGTATTTATATATTTGGTTTGTTTTGAGCGTTGATTGTTTTACTAGTTTATTTGAATATGTCAAAATCAAGAAAAACAATAATTTGTTTTCACAATTAGTGAACAGGTTGGAGCCAAAATAATTTTTTAAATTTAAAAGTAACTGCATATTCATTGTTATGGTTTTGTGTTGTGTAAAAGGTTAAATTAGTTTCGGCAATATTGTAGTTTTATTTTTTGTGTTAGTTTTAATAAATAGTTTCCTTGTGATGTATTTTGTTTCTTATTGTCTAACAAATTCTGATAGTAACAAATTCTGATAGTAAAACCGCACATGCATAAGTAATTCTGACAACTTTCCCAGTTCCTCCTCAGTTCCTGTTTGCTTTGGAATTCTTGAATTTCTATTACTATTTATTTTTCATGTGTGGAAGCAATTCGTTAAATAAATTGAGAACTAGCTCCTTATTGAGCCGAAACAATTCAATGAATCTCCTCTCTTGCAGATTAAATGGATGACTTCTGTCTCTCATTACCTTTTTTGCAATTTTTAGATTGTTAATCCGTCGTCGATTCTCGCAGTAAATGCTTCGAAACAGGATTCATCCTTAATTTAAGGTGGGGATTATGAGGTTTCATGATAGAATACGAACATAACAAATAACTACCGCTCTATTCTATATTTTCTGCTAATTTAAATTAAATTAAACTAAATGTGCAAAAACGAACCAACAGCCGACCAAAATAAAAAACAATTTTTGGTTACGTTTGGATTTTCATCATTTCTTTGTTTTGAAGAGAACACCACAAATGGTCGAATGTTCAAATGGTGGACAATCCCGAACGGTGTTTGCTCCCGTTTCGGAAAGTGTTGGTGAGTCTCGCCTCGCAAGGGATGTTGATGTAACAGACGTAATTTGAGAGTTGATACTAGATAAGTGTAATCCGAATACAAATTAGGAAAACTGTCCTTGTTTTAAAGATACAAGACATACATGGGTTGCTAAATACGCACAGGACACAGGAATTCCTATGTATACGATCAATTATTGTTTCCAAAAAAATATAGGTTAATTTTATAGAAGTGTGCTGCAACCCGCATTCAAAAGAATATTCTTTATTAACCCTTGAGTATCTTTTGCATGTTTTGTAGTCATTATCGCTCGCTATTTATTACAGCCACCTGTTAAGGTAAAAGTTGACGCCCACAACAAAATTTATTTTTTAGCAAAATAGGTAGGATTCACATTTGAAGATGAGAATAAAACTGATTGTAAGCTGACTGAATTCACTGTGCAATTTGTCCTAGCCAGTTGCCAGAGAGCCTTGAGGTAACACACATATATGTGCCCCTACCCCTAGCCTACTTTACAAATAAAATGGGACATTTCCCATAGCCACATGAGAATCACCTAAAAATGTACTTATGGTGATACAAAAATACTTTAAATCTACAGCATCATGGACCTGACTTTTGAGCTCACAGCCCCAGAAATGTCCCAATGACCCCAACAAATCTTTTCTTTTTGCATTGGTGTAGCAGAAAACATTTGTAGGGACTGTTCTCTTTTATGATGTAAAACTGTTCAAATGGTTGAAATGAAACAAAACTTTTAAGTACAAGCATTTTAATAATTATTCTCAAAACATAGTATTTCCACCATAATTTTTCTACATCCACATTTCTTGTACTTGACCTACAATTCACAGTGCCTTGTCCAAGTAAAAGACTGTAATAATAACCATTTAGATTTTTATGACAAAGGTAACCTTTACCTTATTAGGAGTTACTAGTAATTTTTTTAATAAATAAGACTTCAAAATTTATCAAGAAAGGTCATATTATACCTACTGCCACTTTGATATATATATATATATATATATATATATATATATATATATATATATATATATATATATATATATATATATATATATATATATATATATATATATATATATATATATATTCTCACGTATTGATTCACGGATGGAAAAATGTGATGACACTATATTCCGGGATATCATCCGTTCGCTCGTTGAACTCCGACTGGAATCCTGCATCCGACTGGAATCCTGCAAATCCTGCATCCGACTGGAATCCTGCAAATCCTGCATCCGACTGGAATCCTGCAGACGTTTCGCCAAAATCTCACTTGGCATCTTCAATGCTCGCGCTCCGAAAACAGTGTTCGAAGTGTTTTCGGAGCGCGAGCATTGAAGATGCCAAGTGAGATTTTGGCGAAACGTCTGCAGGATTCCAGTCGGAGTTCAAAGAGCGAACGGATGATATCCCGGAATATAGTGTCATCATATATATATATAAATATATATATATATATATATATATATATATATATATATATATATATATATATATATATATATATATATATATATATATATATATATATATATATATATATATATATATATATATATATATATATATATATATTCATTCATTTCTCTACAATAAATAAGCCACGTTGGAGAGCGTTTACTAGAAATAGGCTAAAGGTTTCCCTTTAAAATACACATTAGACAGAGAGCGATAAGAAAATACTGGGAACAATTTTTAATTTGACGTATGAATTTTTTGACTTTTATTGTTGTTTTCTAATAGACCACATCAATTCTCGTAGATGAAATTTCCCTTTTTGCTGGGATATCTAATAAATTTTCTATAATTTCACTAAAATAATTTCACCAAATCCTTCATCTGCGTGAATATTCTCAGAGTGATTATAAATATTCACCAAACTAGCCTGCATACCCTGCTTCCCCGGAGTAATCTGTTACGTTAGATTATTCTGCACTAAAGAAAGTTTTCCTACATCTATTACAAACAATCAGTTTTATTTAATATTTAAATATTGAAGAATATTGACGTGGAATATTAAGGTTTATTTATACTAAGGCTTGATTAGAAACATGAAATTTGATAGCGCAACATAGTTTCGAGATAGTGGTCGGTAATGAACGCAGAGGTGGGAATTTGTATGTACTTTTGCTCCTCTTGTCTCCAACTAAAATCTGACTAATTTGTCAATTTGTTTTTGAAGCCACAAGAATCGAATGATTTATGGTGGTACTATAAATTGTCGAATAAATAATATTCATAATTATTCAATCATACTTGGATAATAACTTGTCTCTCTTCTTAAACAAATTCCGAATTCCTTTTTTTTACTATGCTGATCTGGTTGTAAAACTTGTCGTTCCTACATCTATTTCAGATTTTAAAATGTTAAGAAGGCGTTTATTATTTCACAAAAAATGTTATCTCATTAAATATAAAAGTATAAAAAGTATAAAAAGGTACGTCTGAACAAATTAATTGGAAAAATAAAATCTTCAATAAAGTAAAAAAAATATTTGCAGTATAAAATAAAACCATCCCACGCAATTCATGGTAACCTATAACTCAAGTATCTTCATTTTAGAAAATCTTATGTATTTCATGAAAATACCAGCTCAATCCTCTTTCGGTCCTAAACTAATTTTTACCAAATTTTTAGGCAGCATTAGTAATAATAAGTTGTAAGAAAAATCAAATGAATGTTTTTTCAGGAAATATTTTCTAACGTTAGTTCCCCTTTAATCTGCTGCACGCCACCCGAGAGTCCCTTAATCTGCGAAGATTTGAATTTAGATAAGGATATTAGCAATACGACTCCAACTACTGTAACAACTTCTAAAGAAAAATCTAAAAAAGTACGTTTTGTTACTATTGCGAGACGGAGGTCTTAAATTTTCCTAGACATATCGAAAGAAACCATAAATCTGAAATTGATGTACAAACAATATTATCACTGGATAAGCAAAGCAAAGATAGAAAAAAATTACTCTTTGCTTTAAGAAAGAAAGGAAATTACCTGCAGAGTAGTACCGATATCAGTAAACCAGTTAGAAAAGGTAATGAAGATACAAATTATTTACCATGCGTACATTGCCTAGGATATTATTCGTCTAAAAATTTATGGAGACACCGCAAAAATTGCAGCGAAAATCCCAATAAAGGATACTCTATGAGAAATTCTCAGGCTGAAGCTTAAAACTTTTTAATTCGGAATTTAAAAGTGGACTCTCAACTAAAAATTAATGTTTTCCCAAGAATGAGGGCCGATAAGATATCGCTAGTTGCTAAGAAGGATCCCTTAATATGTGCATTTGCATCTAGATATTTAAAAATTCACAGAGAGAACCATTTCATTCTAGTGGCTTCAAGAAAAATGAGAGAATTAGCCAGATTATTATTGGAGGCCCTTAAACCGGATAACTACGATATTTTAGTCTCGGCAACTAAAGCTGCATCTCGATTTGACAAGGATTCCAAAACATATCAAGCTCCAACAGTGTTGCGATATCGCACTAGTATACAGCTTTAAAAAATCTGATTACCTTGCATCTACATATTCTGCAACACAAGAGGCTGACCTTAAAACTCTAATACAGTTAATAAATGGTAACTGGAAATTTGATGTTTCCAACCAAGCTTCTAGTGATCTTAATATAAATAAATGGAATAAAGTCACTCTAGTACCCCTTGCCACTGATGTTAAACTACTAAAAGATTACTTGATAAAAAAAGCTGATGATGCACTCTACAAATTACAAGAAAACTCCAGTGATGAAAAATCATATACTACTTTAATAGAAACCATCTACTGCAGAATAATTTTACTGAATAGACGACGTCCGGGAGAGTTTCAGAGACTTTTAGTAAACACTTACAAATCAATAATTCATCATGAGAATTCTCAGACATATGAAGAATTTGGCGAAGTTATTTCAGAAACTGAAAAAATTCTAATGAGCAGTTTTAAGCGTATTGTCATAAGAGGTAAAAGGGGAAGGGGAGTGCCAATATTAATTAGCAAGGATGTACAAGAACACTTAAACATAGTTTTAAGGTGTAGAAGTAAGATTCTGAAAATGTCCAAAATTTACTTATTCGCAAATCCTAAGTCATCTGAGCCAATTGTGGGTTATAAAGCATTAAGAAAACACGCTTCACTCTGTGGAGCTAAAAACCCGGATGCTCTAACCTGTACCCGACTTCGAAAACATTTGGCAACTTTAACTCAATTATTTAACATGTCTGAAAACGACATGGAGCAACTGGCCTCATTTATGGGTCACACTTTGGGTATACATCGACAGTCGTATCGCCTACCCGACGATATTTATCAAACTTCTAGAATTTCCAAATTACTTATACTTATGGAAAATGGTGAAGCTGGTCATTTTAAAGGCAAATCGCTAGATGAGATTGAGATAATTTTGGAAGAAAATTTAATGGATATGTCTGATAAACCAAAATCAAAAGAAAATGAGCATGGACACGAAAATTGGGAGGCTACTGAAAAACAAAATGACGAGACACATCTAGACACGTCAAATGCACAGGATCTACTTGGAAATTCTGAAAAAAGTAAGCTGGATTCGGACAGTATTCAAAAACCAAAAATTCGAAAGCTAGTTCCATGGACAACAGAGCAGAAAAATTTAGTTATGAATTTTTTTAAAGGTCACATTAAAATGAAATGTCCTCCTAAAAAAGGTGAATGTCTAAATCTTATTTCTAGAATTTCTAAAATTCTGTACAATAAAAACTGGTTAAAAATAAAGGTTTTCATTCAGAATCAATATACAAAAAAGTAATCTATAAACCCATTAATTTAGAGGAATTTTTCATTTCAACAGTACTTATGTTAAGTTCTGCAATTTTTTTAATATATGGCCTCAGTTTAACTATTCTCTCGGTATATTGTATATGTGTTGTTTTTGGATTATATGGCATATTATAGGTACTTTTATTATATACCATACCCTAGCCACCAAAAAATCCAAAAGGATATCTGTATTTTATTTTTTATTGTGTTACAAAGACAAACAAATTCTAAATAAAGATTCGTTTATTTTCGATGTTAGTTCATTTTATTTCGTCTCTAAACTTTAAATAACGATATACCTACCAATAAAAATTTGAAAAAATGTAAATAACTAATACAAAAGATGCATATTTAAGTATACCACGTTAAACAGGGTTGTCACTTTTATGGAGGAGTAACATACTGTAAAACGGCAATTTTGTATACATGGGAGGACCTATTCACCGAAGTGTAGCTATACCATATACGCATGAAAATATACGAGCGCCGCTAGCGACGATCGTCGAGGTGTCAAACCGCTGAACTAATATATACAAAATAGCCGAAAAACAGCTAAAACTCATCCCTCTCAAATTTTGGTAGACGAACCAGATCGATGTTTCGGTTGTTTTAACGTAGGATGCGTTAGGTCTTCCGTATACGGAGGAATTAACGCAACCGGAGGAGCTATTCAATGTAAAAGGTCTATTGAAGGAAGACTTAACCACCGTAGTATGTATATATATATATATATATATATATATATATATATATATATATATATATATATATATATATATATATATATATATATATATATATTCAAAGAAACTCCCACAGGCTACTGTGCCAATTTATGCCATATTTGATCAAGGGTAGGTTCAACAAATTGGTTAATATGCTTTCATCCAGGGGCTTGCGAGAAAAATGGCTCGTGCCAAGCTTTTCTGCCAAACTGTACAACCAAACTAATATCTAGGTCACTCGCTTGCTCCCAGAACTCTAGTCAAGTCTTTCAGTTCTACAGGTACATTTGAATGCCTCCACTTCTGCATAGAGGTAAATACTGAGTTGAAGGAAGTAAGGAACCTTCGGCCTAAAATTAAGTTGAGATAATTGAAATTCATTAATACTTATATAGTTTTCCGTTACACATTCTGCGTGAATAATAAAGTCGTCGTGAAAAAAATAAACTATCATGGAGATTAAGCGTGGCAATAAGCTATCTCGTTGCTATAGTGACTTAAAATACAAACAATTAGTATTAAGTGTTTAGAATCTGTGTGTCGAATGAGGTGTATGTTTGAATAGTGTAAAATCGATGCGCTTTGGCAATATGTACGGTCCAAAGGTAATAAGCTTTTTAATAGGACACTCGGGTAAACAAAAATTAAGCACAATTTTCAAAAGTGCATATCTACAAAAATAATTAAAATGTTTCGGATATCAAGAATTTCGGTGATGGCTACCACGTATGCTTTTTAAAACTTTTTTTTTTGACCGATTTTTGATATCTTTACTAGTTTCAGTTGAAAAAGGTTCGAAAAAGTTGGCATTGACCTTCGACTTTTTAATTTAAAATAATTTTAACTTTTTTTGATTCTAAATTTTATTATAAATAAGTACTGCTTTCAATTAATTTGAAATGTCCATACCAAAAACTATGGTGAATCAGATTTCAGTTTCCGTTTAATGATTAAAATGAACATAACCAATTGAAAAACAATCACGAAATGGAGATTTTGGAGTGAGAAGTAGAAATAATATATTCAATCAGAAAATTTTCCTAAATAGCGGGAAAATTTGTGTAAAATTTGCCACACTAAGTAAACACAAATTTTATTAATGAGATTGAAATTTGCTTTTTATAAATGACAGCTAATTTGTGTAGATATTTTTAAGTATTCACTGTGAACCATCAATATTGTAGTATAAATCACTAATTAGCTAGATAACTACGTTTTTATTAGAAAATATAATTCTCTGTTAGTCTGATAGTCGCCATTAAGACTAATCACAATTTTGTGTGCAAATATTAGAATCTTCTATTTGGAATATATGCTGTACTGCATTTTTACAGTTCTCACCCAGTATGTTAATTTCAGTTTTTGTACTTGATGAGTTTGGTGCTTTTTATAGCAAGCGGCTGTGACCCATTGTAATGGCACTGTTATCTGGAATATTTTTAAAAGGTAATTTTCGTAAAGTTCTTCTTGAACGAATCCTTTCCATATTAAACATTCATACAGGTATGAATGTCGTAATTATTTTTTGGAGGAGGTCCGTCAATAGCTAAGCCGATAACTTTCAGAAACACTTAACACGATCGTTTCTTTATTCACGGGCTATTCCGAACTGCATGTTTTTTTATTAATCTGTGGAAATCGCTGATTACACCGGTAGAAAACAGTTTAACAGCATGTCTGACACGTAAACGTAGGAATCAAAGAAAACGATAAAATTACCGGAATTTTTTGATATTTAGGTACCGAAAGAATTTTACCGGTACTGTTATATTTTATATTTATCTGGGTCCAGAATGGATGGCGGGATCAGTAAAATAATGATATGTCGCCATTGTGACAAGTGTTTATTGCCCAGTTGGGTTGTGGTCAGTGTATATAGTACCATAATTCGTTGTTCTTATTAATGCTGTGTCAATCGTTCATTTTACAAAGACGGAATTAATCAGTGACCGATTTCGAAAAGGACCGAATCATTTTAATCAATCGTTCATTTCAATACTTTTTGATGCCAACATAAGCGGCAATATTTACTGAATCCGAACAATTCGAACGACCGATTCAGATTCATTTGAATCTGAATTATTGTTGTGTCTATATACAGTAATACATTAATTTGTTTAAATTAAATACTTGTGTGGAAATAGATATTTCATTCAAAATTCAATTCAACACATAAGCAAGTCTACCACCTACTACGATGTCGTAACTCAATACTATAGAATAATTATAACAATACTCTCATTCCTTTTCCGTGACCTGTCTCAGTCATGCATTTAAATCTTAAACCATTCAAATGAATCGTATTCCGGCAAATTCGATTTGTTTTGGTGCAGTGGGTCGATCAGTCGTCCTGTATTTGGTTACTTCAGACCCGTCAAGGCGGCAGCGAGAGCGAACAAGATGATCCAATCGTTGCGAATAAGCGGGATTCGGTCGTTCGATCCTATGAAGTGATTGAATCAAAGTGACCGAATCAATCGCGATTGACACAACTCTAGTTCTTATACAACTTGTTCACTTTAAAATCGAATATTCAAATAATTTGTGTAAATAACAGTAAAATGGCAAACAAATACAACAAACGTACTTCTCTCCCGTGTGTCTTCATTTTTTTATTTCTTGAAGAAACTGAAATCAACTCCATTATTTAGAGAACGTGTTACAGTGGTACTAATGCTTTTTGGTGGATCCCTTCGAAATTTTGACGCTCAATTTGGAGTTTTTGTTCGGAAAATCGTCATCCCTCGTCAATCTGTCGCCCAAATCATTGGACAAGACATCAGAAAGTCCACTCTGATTCAGACTTGCATTGTTGTTGTTGTTCCAGACTGGCAGATACTGTTTTTATGTTTCAGATTTTATTTTCAGTCTAGGTGGAGTCGTTGAAACCTTCCAAAAACTTGCCTTTTTTCAAAAATCGTCTATTCCTAATCAAAGCCGAACTGGTATTTGGTAAGATCGGACGCCAATTTTCTTTAATACTTTTGCATCGGTCCAGTCTCAGTGGTCTGGTGAAAGAACTTTGGCAATTGTTTTGCTTTTCTGTCATAAAAATGTTTTTGCTTATCGTGGGAAGAATCAATGAAATTGTTGTTGAAAGTACTCCTTAAAAATTTAGACTTACAGTAGGCAAAAGGTCTTGCAATTGTCGATTATTTAGAATAATTAAAGGAGAATATTTTCCATCCACTGGAGTGTTTTTAAGATTCAAAAGCGCAAGCTCACAGAGGCTAATCAAAATCATTTTCGGGTCATCAGTGGTCACTACTCATCAGTCCGAAAAACACTTCAAATTAACTTCAAAAAAAGGATGTCTTATTAACATTACAAAAATGACCTCAGAATGTCGTCTTGATTAATTCCGGATATGGACTTTAAACTTAAAAATAATTTTAACCATTATTAAATTCTTCTATTTAAAACCCTGATGTAGGAGACTATATCTAGTGTGTCAAAGTGATATGTCTCGTTTATTATTTGTTATAGAAAAATGTTAAATTGAAAAGTTATAGATTAGACTATAAGGAACTATTGAAAATTATTTTCAAATATACATATATTTTTTAAATGAAAATTAATGTACTGAAATTGTAATTTTTTTTTGCTTAATGGGGCTGTGCTTCGCTAAGATTTGGTATAAATCTACCGAGTCAAAGTCAAAATTCCCAAAAAACCTCTGGACTCGTGGTATATTGTTTAAAGCTTCTATCTTTGACAAAATTTAATTTCTTTTTGACTGAACTTACATTTATTAAACCTAAGATTGAATTTTTCAGCCCACTCAAGTACTATTCTCAATATTTTGTCATGTTCAGATTGACTGACCTCTGATTATATTAAGATGTCGTCAATAAAAACTTTTATCCCTAAAGATTTTCTATATTCGCTTCTGAAAAAAAAATTGCTCTCCTTTTATCTAAAGGCACTTGCAGAAATTCCTGGGTACCTACAGTCTAAAGACTGCAGTGTGCAAAGTGCTCTGTCAAGGTTTCGCAAGTTGCTAATTTAAAATAATGACGTTTTACCTGGAGGTTAACGTCTTTAGAGTCTATACACAATTTCAATGATCCGGTTTTTTTACGAACCATAACCCAGTCAGCTCCATCTGGTGCGTTTTCTATTATTTCCTTTTTCTCTAACATGTCTGGTGCTTTTTTCAAGCCTTTGTTGATGGCATATGGTACTGATGATTGAGCAGCATTGGCAACAGGCTTTGCATTTTTTTTAAGTAATATTTTATATGGCCTCTAGAGACGCTCGACTGCCTTAAATAGATCGACCATAGCTCCTGTATCCATTTTTTAGTTTGATGGGATGTTTTTCTACTTGTATTTCCATAGTCCACGACTCCCAGTTCGGAATGCCTCGGCCGTCAACAACGTGGTCAGATCTAAAATACAAAAACCTAACCCAGAATCTGTTTTATAATCAGTGTCATCATCCTCATTTACTTGGTGTAGGTTTTTCATTTTTTATTATAAAATTAACAATCTCCATAATAATTTAATCCCGAACATCCCCTACATTTTTTCTATTTGCCCCTTTTCAAATTTGAGCACTTTTTTATTATTTTTACGATCCCTACCGCAATTTTGATGGTAATGATTGTTACTTTTTTATATTTCCCCCATAATCCCTTTTATTCGCGTCCACCTCTGCGGAATCAATTCCGTTTGTGATTTGCCTATTTTTCTTCCTAACACTCGGTGGTTAAGCAGAATTTGACGGCATCTTCAAGTTTCTTAAAATCTTTCTGAAAAAGTCGAGCCTAAGTGGAGCATTTTTTATTCCACAGGTATTTACGTCACGTACAAGACCGTCCCTTAATTTGAGAAATTCACATGAAAGTTTTTCAGCTCTGTAATAAACTGTTCTAAAATTTGATGTTTCTGTTGTCTTATAGTTAAGAATTTATGCCTGTCCGCTAATTTCTTTTTGGGAGTAAAATGTAGTTCAAATTTTTAAAACAGAACATTGATATTATCGACTTGTCGTCTGTGAATTCAAAGGTGTTATGAGTGTCAGAAGTTGTGTACATTAGACCGTCTCATCCTTTTTGCCTTTTGACAGATTTGACAGATTACCGGACATGGACATTGGTGGGATACCTCTGAAATTCATCATTTTTGGGAATTGTTCCCTAGACGTTTATATTTCATATTTCGCTGAGACCATAATTGGAGGATGGCGGGATCGGTGAAATGATGAGACAGCGGCAGATTCATAAGTGTTTATTGCCCAGTCGGGTTGTGGTTAATGTATGTCATAGTTTGGTTGGTTATGTGACAGGTGCATTTAGTGCTTCACATATTTAGAATGAACATGTCATCCTAATTGCAGATAGTATTCCTAATTAGGTTTAAAAATCAAAAAGAGTTAAATTAGTGAAAGTTTATTTTCAAATTAACCCTCACAAAATGAACGAATTTTAAAAAGAATTTATATCTCAAATACCGGTATAAAGATATCAAAATTGGGTCAAATTTATTAAAATGTTATATTTGTTAGGTTTTTGTTAAAGTTTCATCCGGTGGAAATTTTCCATCCTATATGTTAAAAATTATACAATTTGAGCATGTGGAAAAACAATAATAATAATGTTTCTAGTTTTACAGACCTGAAAACAGATTTCAATTTTTGTTTACCTATTTAGTTTTTTCTTAGTTCATTTTACATGAAAAAACTTTTGTAGGAGCAGCTCATAGAGATGCAACAACTCCCGCTCAATAAAACAAAATCAACTGATATGCAAATCAGAAACAAAATCTATTCATCTAGTCACGCATCACCTTCCAACACTTTTGAAAAAGATTTATCGACAGTATTTTCGGATAAAAGTTCCATCAGAAAAGGTCATTTCCGAGAAGACGCGGAAACGATTTCTGAGATATCCGACGCAATATTTACAACTGAAAGATCAGGAGACGTCAGCATATCTGAGAATTTTGTGCAGTCTTACCGAGACAAAATTCTTCAAAGATTTAATGCCGTCAAAGAACAGGCCAAAATGTCCCAAAAAATACAAAATATCTCGAGGAGAGATGCTCGTAAGCGTTCCATCGAGAACATTATACATGAAGTTAGTAAAATTGGTGCCAATATGAAATCGGCTAGGAGCAAAACGAACCAAACCAAAAATGATTCAAATAAGGAGTTTGCATTTTTTCATTTTAGGAATAACAACGGTAGTGCTAGTAAAGTGAGTATCCTTAAGGTTAATTTTCACTAGGTATTCAAACTCCGCTCACAGTCAAGAATTTTGGACAGTATATAAAGTCTTCAATCAAATGTCGTTCTTTGATGTTAAGATGTATAAAACATTTTCGATTAGTGAATTGGGAGCTATTGCAATATGTTTGGACGAAGAAGACTATGAAAAAGAAAAAACGATAGCTATGGTATGATAAAAAAAACTTAAGATGAATTTTTCACTTTATGTAAAGAATTTTTGGATGATGAAATGAATTTTTTTCAATACTTTCGACATGCGCATTCAATTATATTTTAAATAGAATTTCATCGGACTTGATAAGAAAAAATACCACCTTTCGAGAATCTATCACACTACTGGAGAAATTATGTGTTTAGTTAAGGTAGGAAACTAATCTATTTTAATAAATGAAATTATTTTTTCAAAGAAACTTCCACAGGCTACTGTAAGACTATTTACTAATTTTCTGCATTCGTCCTACGTCGGAAGAAGCCGGCGGGATGATTGGTAACATTATTGTTTGAAAAATTTATAGATAATATTGACTGAATATACAAGACTTATATAGGCAACTATAAAATGATGTTATTTGTAATAATACCTACAAAGCTGTAAATTAAAAAATAACCTTAAAAATTAGATATTTGTCACATCTGAACATTTAAAATCGCTATACATAAAGAAATAACTGAATACTTAAAAATTATATTTGTTCTTCAATAAATTTTCGTAATTTGATGATGCTGTACTGCGAGGTACTTGTATGCAGAGTGTGAATCAAACGGACTTTGCGATAGATTTTAACAAGCCAAATTTGGTTTATATTCTATTGGTTTTGATTGTGTTGCGTGTCGAATTTGACTAATTTGAAATAATATTTTATTGAATAATTTGCTTACTCCCATCTACATAATTGAAAAATGGCAAAGTTATATATACAATTGACCAAAGATACATTTTAGTTAGAAGATTTTTTCAAAAATTTGCATTACAAAAAATCGCATCACAAAAAGGAACACACAACATAACACACGAAGTTGACAGGAATACTCGTCTTTTTTGAGTTATATTTCACACATATTTCGGGTGATGAATTCGGCTGAATTTTCCACAATATGTCTATAATATAAGGAAAACTGTAAAATTTCTCTTTATTAATTCTCCAGAACTTTGAATATCTTTTCATATAAAACTTTGCGAAGCGAACTTATAAAACGGCTTAAAGAGAGTTTTTATAGAGAGTTGAATATGCAGAATAAATAGAATATCAAATAAATGTATCAAACAAGTGTTACTGGTTTTAGGAAAAATGTATTTTTAGGATATTCAACAGGAAGAAGATCTAAGGAATACCTTTGACAATAAAGAGCCTATGATTGAATATATAATGCCGGATCTGTTGGACTTTAACATACGGATTTCAGAGAGAGAGTGTTACTTCTTCCCTGGGAAGTAAGAGCAACTGTTTTATTCCAGCAAGCAATTGTGTATAGGGCAGCTCGTTTATTATGGGATCAATGATGATGATCTCAAAATCGGTAAAGAGTATCAAAAAAACGTAAAGACAAAAGTTGTTTGGATTTAATTATACTTTTATATATATACTTATATATATATATATATATATATATATATATATATATATATATATATATATATATATATATATATATATATATATATATATATATATATATATATATATATATATATATATATATATATATATATATATATATATATATATATATATATATAGAATGTTTGTATTTTCGTGAACGAGTAACAACTTTATTATTTTAAATAGAACACTAGAATTCCTCAGAAATTTCTAGATATATTTTATATACGATAACCCATACTTATGTTTTGCAGATCTAATTGTATCTATTTCTCCGACTGAAAGTCATTGATATATATTTGAGGTTGATTACTATTAAAACATTAAAAATTTTAATGAAAAAAGTTTTATAATTTTATTATATTTGGAACTAAAATGAAAGTTTTTTCCATTGTAAAAATGCTAAACGGATATTAATCGGCCATGAAGATAACGGTGAAATATGACAGAAAAAAAACAATCGAGGATTAAACAAGTAGTACTTACTATTGATTCGTCTCACTTTTTTTTTTATAAATCTTATAAATCATGGCTGATAATTAAGTTACTAAGTTCTTAAACTTGTTAAATGTGTTGAAAACATTTTGAAATTTGCTGAAAAATATCCAGATGGATAAAAAACTGCAAAAAACATTGTTTTAAACGGATAAAATAAAAATAAGTAAATACATATTTTTATAAAAAAATTCATATTTTTAATGACAAACTTAGGGGGCATAAAACAGTCAAACATTGATTTTCAAATCCACATACAGTTAAATTAATGACGTTTTTGTAATACTCGATTGTTTTTTCGCTATATTCGCTATTGTCGTCACAAATTTTACAGTGGAAAAACGTGTTGTTGCTAATATTTGGAAATCTATACCGTTTTTCAAATAGGCAACTTTATACAATTGCACGACTTTAAAGTAATAAATACGATAATATTATAAAGTTACTTTTAACGATTTTTTCATTTAAATTTTTAACGTTTGTGATCACCCTTGATTTATTTTTAAAATATCGACTCCGCTTACTCAAGTATACTCTGTTGCATAAGGAAATCAACCCCAACTGGCAGTGGGAGAAATCGATATATTTAGACTTGCAAAAATCACTTTCGATATAAAATTTAAAATATGTATACTTCCTTTTTCCTTTTCTAATAGTAGTCGAGGCGACAGTACTGCTACAGTGAACGAGATGCCAAGAATATTGGAAGGAGAGGGTTTGTGTATTAATTTGAAAAATCCACTACCAATGGATCAGCTTAATAAGTTGGAAGAACGACTAATTTTTGTTGATGATAGGTAGGTGAAATAACATGAGATTTAGACTGGATTATTTGTGTCTG